AGTCTCACCAATTGGAGTTAGGGTTTAGGTTTTGGGTTTTGGGTTTTGGGTTTAGGTGACCTTCGAGAGCTCAAGGTTTGAGGCTTTGCTTAGCAGCTCTGAGTCGTCGGCGTCGAGATTCTTTAGCCTTAGCTGCTGAAACAACCTTAAGGGCATGTGAAGCACGTAAGGTTCATGGTGGGTGCCCCTGGAAGTTTGCCAGCAGAAGGGTTTTTCAGCAGAGGCAACGATAACTTGTGTACTTCCTCTTGGTGACAGCCAGGTTGTATGAGAGCCGTCTCAGAAGCTGCGCGGATGTAGGAAGACACCGAGGTTCCTCGAAACCGAGCAAACTAAGTTTCATGCGGTATGCAGGTTTCCCAAAATTGCCGGTCATGAAGGTTCCTATAATAAGGCTTGTAGCACTTTGGGGTATATTGGGGGTACCCCAATCCTGGGAAATACTCAATCCATATCCCCCAACCTTTTCTCACAGATGAGCGATGTACCAGATTGAAGGTCTGGGCTTCTAGAAAAGGCTGTACTCCCGACTGACTGCATCCTCACTCGCCGCTTGTTGCAGACCGGGTTGATGGCAGCTGCTGGGACAAGGACTCATGTCGAAGGTTTGGGGTTGTTTGGGCCAACTTTTCCCAGGCCCCGGGCATCGAGAAAAGTCGGTCCCACCATGTTTATTCCACCAAGGGCTGCCTTTGTTTCTCTCAGAGGTTTGGCCGAAAACCCCCTAAACCCTAAACCCTAAACCCTAAACCCTAAACCCTAAACCCTAAACCCTAAACCCTAAACCCTAAACCCTAAACCCTAAACCCTAAACCCTAAGACTGCCTTCGCCCATCGCCTATGTTCAACGAACAACGTTGAGAAGCGCGAGGTAAACCCTAAACCCTAAACCGTTGTCCATCTCGGAAGAAGGTTGGTGAGACCAACTGTTTGCCCAAGCCCGGCCGCCTTCGACCGTGGCCCGAGTTGCCCCCCAACTTGCTGGAGAATTCATTGAAGCCAAGCCCCCACAGTTGGGCATTTTCTAAACCTACTTCCTATAGCCCTATACACCCTAAACCCTAAAATGCCCCCGAAACCATACACCCTATTCCCTAAAATGCCCCCTAAACCATACACCCTAAACCCTAAAATGCCCCCCCTAAGCCGCGGATCGAAAGACGGCAGGACGGTGGTCTGGCGACTGCGAGTGGCACAGACGATCTGAGTGGGGATGACCTGAGCGTGCCTTGCCACCCTCACCCCTTTTTGGGGGCGCAAATGCATGAACCCTCAAAAAAGGGTTATGGCTCATAGACCCTAATATTGGAATATCGTAGCAATTATAGGGTATATGATCCGGTCATTTGGTCCCCTAAAATTTGTTTGTCTCCATGGGGCAAGAGTGGGGAATTCCTCGCAGCGTCCACACACAAGTACCTGGAGACTCTGCGATTGTGGTGTTCAGGACATGTGCCTGAATGTAACATCCTGTGATGCATTGCTGAGCTGTGGCCCCAAGCAGCCTCCAAGATCCGTCTCGACAGGCTTTCATTCATCTCGCATATACTCACCGAAGCTTGATTGTGGCACGCGAGCAGAGAAATCCTAAGCCACAAGCCCGAAACCCTAAACAACCCTAAACCCTAAACAACCCTAAACTCGAAACCCTAAACAACCTTAAACCCGAAACCCTAAACAACCCCAAACCCGAAACCCTAAACAACCCTAAACCCTAAACCCTCAGCCCTTAGCCAAACCGAGGAAAGTGGCCACAGCGACTCGCAGAGTGTCAACAACACGATCAGCGAGGGTGCCGACACCCTCGTGACTTGGTCGTCGAATGTGTAAACCCTAAACCCTAAACCCTAAACCCTAAACCCTAAACCTTGGGGGTGTTTAGGGTACCTTTATGGATACCCTTCGACCCAACCATCATAACCATCATAACCATAAACCTCATAACCATCATAAGCCATAAAGCCTAAACCCATCATAACCATATACCCTAACCCATTCTACCCAATTATCCTATACCCACTCCACCAAAAACCCCTACCAAAAGACCTCAACCCCTAAGCCAAAGTTGCGAAGCCCCTCTTCCAAATACCTACCACTTTCCAGATATGGCGGCATGCGGCATGCTGCGGCCAGAAGCTGCGATGTACAGTTGACATTTCACGTTCATGACCCTACTTTGCTTAATCAAAGCAATGGAACATTTGAAGTGCAATTGGTGCCTGATGTGGGGCACGGCGTCGCACAAGTCAAGATAGTTGGTTAAAGACATGTCCCAGCACAGCAATGTCGGCCGCGTCCCTCATGGCTCTTATAGAACATATCATTGACATCTGGCTTCATAAGGTTAATGGATAAGAAACTATAAGGTTCTTCCGTAGCTATATTATAAACTTCTAACAATAATTTCTTTGCTTCTGCTAGGTTCTTAGCGTCTGCCACCGTTGATTTCTTAATCAAGACGGCGCTTAATTCTTCAACCATTGTTTCAATCTCTTTGTAATTTCTCAAACGGAAGAAGAACAACTGACGACTATTGACACGAATTATTGGACTTAGTGAATTGGATTTCTGAGTAGCTGTTATTATGCAACAGGCTTTCTGTCTTCCACGCACATATAGTTGATGATGTAAAGGTGAGTTTCTTGAAAATTCCTCTGAATCCGCAAAATCGTCAACAATAATTAGTATTGAATGTAATTGTTTATGTCCGTTCTTCTTTTGGTATTCAGTTATTTTATGTTGTCTATTTATTACCACTTCCAGCTCTTCGGGCTTGTATTCATCAAAGAAGACCTTTTCCTTTTCCGTATCTACCTTCAATTCTGTTTCTATATATTGTTTAACAGGTGTCCAGTTAGGGTCAATTGAAGCCGAGGGCGACCACACATAAACTCTTGCGAAACCGTCTCTGTAAATGTCTAAGATAAGCGATTGCAATAGAATACCCTTGCCACTGCCCGAACGTCCAGTTATAATCATTGAGAACGGCAATTTAGGCGCTACTTCATATTTAGATTGTTTGAACTCGTATTCTTTTACATGTATCGGTTTGACTATTGGAATATTACTGATTAATAATATTTGGAAATTAATTTCGATTAAATGTTGGTGGTGTTTATTACCATCCGTGCGAGCCTCTGTCAGTATTCTATAATGTTATAAACACTTACAAGTGCGAACAGAGTAAGATATTATAACATCTAATTCAGAATTCGTTTGTTGAAACAGGAACAACACCATTAAATCTTAGAGAAATGTATTGCTAATAATTATTTGTTATTATTAATAATATAATCAGTGATGATGGTAAGTCTGAGAAGAATGGATCTCGCATTGATACAAAAGGCATATCTTGCATTCCATGTAGATGCAAAAGACAGTTTTATCACAAGGAAACGAAAATCCACTCACCTATACAATTCCAACATTCACTAATTTGTATTTTAATAGGATAATAAATATCAACTACTGCATTACATTTCAATTTGTCTGTTTTACAACATAAGAGATAGCACAAAAAACATCATAATTACAAACCATTGCTACTTTATCACCTCGCTCATTAATGTTTTTTTTACCGTTTTCTTTGATTAGTTGTTCATCCATTATGTTTTCATATATCTCTTTCATCCATTCGTGATTAGGCCTTCCATATTCACTAATCATATTTAATATTTCTCTTCTTGAATATTCACTTTTTGTTTCACGGGCGTGTGTAAGCAATAGTTCCATAACTTCTTCATATTTGGGATAGGGGTTATTCTTAGTAAAAGATTTAACTTTGTCAATCACGTTCTCCATCTTGGTCATGTCTATCTCACTAACATATAAGGCGTTTTGTCTTTAAGTCCTTTTGTCTTGGACGAAAGAGATTTAAAATGAATATTGAATAAAGAATGTAGTAATGGAAAACGTATCTTTACACGTGAGGCATCGTTGCATGTTAAGTTATGTGGTAAGGTTATTGATAAATACGAATATTTGAGCCGGCACTTGAATAGCAAAATGCATAAGCAGAAGATGGAAGAAATAGAACGAGAAAGAGAAACTATGAAAGTTATGAATAAAACAGACAAATGGAGAGAGCTAGAAGAGAGATTGGAAAACGTAATTGTTAGTTGTAGGATTTAGAAGGGCTTAAGAGAAAGGGCTTAAAGAGAAGAGGTCATATAATATTAAGACATGACCGAGGAAAAACAAAGATGTGCCAGATGTAAGGTTACACGAGATAAGAGAGAATAAATCTTGCAATAGACGTTTTGACAGGGACAGACAATACAAGCAAAGAAACAAAAACAAAATCAAGGAAGCAAAACAACGGTATAGATTGCTTGAAAAATATTGCGAAGTTTGCGATTGCAATATTAGGAAAACCACTTTTCAGAACATGTGAAAACACAGAAGCACATTCGGAATGTGGGCAATTAGTTTTCATAGTATTTAATTATGAAAATTAGTTAAGGTTCATGCCCGGGTTCGTGGATAAGGGGTTTGGGTAAGTTTGCTGGGTTGGGAGGCTGGTTGGGGGGGTTTTGGGTTCATAGGAGAATTGGTAAGGGTTTTTGGTTGGGGCTTTTGGAAGTTAAGGGTATAGGATAATTGGTAAGACTGTTTGGTTGGATGGTAAGATGGGTGGGTCGGAGGGTATTGTCACGAACCGGAGCATGAACAATCCTAGCTGTAATAGGGTTGAGTGTGAAGGGTTACGATATTAGGGGTTCCTTATTACAAGCGGATCCTACAAGTTGGGGATCTTTTTGTGGGGGTCCCATATTTTCGTAAAGTCCCATATATACTCCTAGAGCGATGTATTCAACATAGTAATGTAACCATATAAAATACACAATAAAATACCTAATGTAGTTGTATGGTGACTTGACGGCTGTAGAAAAATTGGATAAGGAGATATTGATACGATAGTATAGTAGTTTCATAGTAGAGAGTGTGCATAGTGGTACAAGAGTGAGTGAGTGAGTGAGTGAGTGAGCATCGACCGAGGCATGTGTCTGGCCGAAGACGCATGCCTGGCCTAACAAACTGGCGACACCTCCAGCGCGAAGGCTTAAAGTGTCAGCCACAACAACACAACGCAACGACAAACAGCAACAGCCAACAACACGCAACCACGACGCGGTGACGAACGAAAAGGCCCAGCTAAGCGCGAGGGCGTGCTTGCTCCGAACAAAGCGACCACTAGGCAGGCCCGCCACCTGCACCCATCGAGCAGAGTACTGCCCGGCGGGCCGGCATAAGGGCAAGACAGCTTGCCATCATCGCGATAACTTCGCTCAGCGCGGCTCTTCCCCCAGAGGTCACCCTTCAGGGTACTAAGCCAAGCAAACACCGTCACCTCCGCTCAGGGCAGCGCCAGTCGAGTGCCTAAAACGGCACACACGCTTCTCCACAGATCCCTCTGCAGATACTAAGTGCCCACCCGACCTGTGCGCACCCGGAGCTACTCACATCACGGCCTCATCCACCTCCACCATTTCCAGCACACCAGGGCCCCCACCACCAATGGCAAAATTCTGCCATCCCCTTCAAAGCTGCTCTCAAATCAGTGTGCCCTCCGAGTAGCGGGAAGAAACCCAACACTGTGGGCAACCTCCCCCGGAGGAGGGGTAATAGTGGTACAAGAAGATGATAGTATAAAAGTATAAGAATACAATACTAGAACTGTTTCGTATAGTATAGTAGTCGAGTAGTAGAATACTATACTATTGTAGATTCGAACCCGAAGCCTGCCGTGTGCGAATGTGTGAGTCGAAGCTGCGCAACCCACCGGTTCACCTCTGACATTGCGACTTAAAAAGCTCATGCACTTGCACGGATTCCAAAGTCGCGACAGATATAGGAATGTGAAGACGCTGCCAAACCTTTGCAAAAAAAGGCAACTAAACAAAGTAACTGCCGAAAACGTGGGACAATAGGCAGTGAGCCATATTTCATAGCGAAGCACCTACATATGCATGCATGTATGACTCTGTCTCTCTCCGTATCCCTTCCTGTCCCTTCCCCGAGGACAGCCTTCGAAGCGAGAATAAGTCGCTCAAGGAGCTGCAGTACCTGCAGCATCAACTCCTGGCTTGGAGCTCAGGTTTAGGGTTTAGGGTTTAGGGTTTAGGGCTGCGAGCTTGAAGAAGTGGACAGGGGCTTGCCAATGATAGTCGAAGCGGGTTCGTTGATGGCTTACGGTTGCTGTTCCTGCGCTCGGCAGGGCTTCCTGACATCCGCCTTGCGTGGGGTTATTTCACAGTTAGAATTCGAAGACACGTGGCTTCTCTTGATTCCTGAGTTTCGGCAAGCCAGTAGTCAGTAGTTCAAAAGCAAATCGCTTGACCCATTCCAACAACAACTACGCCCGAGGGGATGCTTCAGCCCACTTCAAAGCCAAACCCTCTCGGAGCCCCCCCCAGTTTGAGTGATCTGGCGCACCTCTCTCTCAGGATACTCACCAGGCGCAGATAAAGCTCCTGGAGTCCGAAATCGCGAAGTGGAAAATGCTGTACTCGTATCAGGAGCCGCGGCTGTCCAAAAATGAGTTTGAGCTTGGATGTGGTATAGGGTAGCCCGAAGCTCGGGTCTTTGCGTTCCTTGTGCTGTAAATTGGGGTCTGCAAAGGGGTGTATGAATGCTGACGAAGTGAGAACCTGCGCAGCCAGGACACACTTGTGGCGCACATGCAGAGCCAACTCGAGGAGTACGTGAACGAGAAGAGGCGCAGGGTTTAGGGTTTAGGGTCAGCTGCGTCTCAAAGCACTCTCTGAATAAACTGACTGTTGAATTAGCAGGGAATGAGGGAATTAGGGCCCCACTATATACCCTTTAAGGGATTCTATTGGGCACCTACACTTCCCCCATTCCCTACGAACCAACAGTAAGTAAATCTCGGCCTGCAGCCTGTACAAGGAGGGGCCCCCTTAATATATTAACTGTAGTTAAGGGACTTATAACCTAACTTGGATCCTTATAACCCAAATTTAGGGCTCTTACAACTCTCCTTGTAACTAGAGGGCCCCCACCTCGTAGCCTTGGAGTAGGACGTCGCCCTGGCGACATCACGCGGCGTGCGCACAGGATTCGGCGGTCATGGCTTCGACCGCCTCCGGTGTTGGCGCAACGGTTAAAGTAGGAGCTTCCCCTGATTTGACGGCCTCAGTGGTTTAGGGTTTAGGGTTTTTGCTTTAGGGTTTTTTTTGGTTTTTGTTTAGGGTTTAGGGTTTAGGGCTTAGGGCTTAGGGCTTAGGGCTTAGGGCTTAGGGCTTAGGGCTTAGGGCTTCGGTTTAGGAGCTTCGTCAACCTTGCACGGGCCTTGCGCCCAACCTCATGTTGATAAAGTCTCCTCCTCGAGCCCTCCTAAAGCCTACAAGCCCCTGAAGGACCTCGAACGCCACATGCATTCTCACAACAGGTCATTGCAGGACGAAATTGAGAAGACGCGCAACCAGCCTGAGGTCCGTGCAGAACCTCAAACGGCTCCCCCGCTTTGGGCCAAAGAGGGGGCCTTTTTTGAGGTAAGGTTGGTGGAGAAAGTTTAGGAGGTGTGGGATAGAGTGTTCTGAGGCTTTAGCCCGGTTGTGGCATAGATGCGCTCGAGCTTGCTGGCGTGGTGACGGTGCAAATATTCGGTAAACGTGGGGGAACCCAAAGGGCCAGCACGGCTGCTCTGCTCCAGCATCTCCCTAAACCCCCACTGAAGCCTTGCCGGGCGCGTGCGAGTGTGAGCGTCGAAACCCTACACCCTCAACCCTCAACCCTAAACCCAAAACCCTAAACCCTTTCAGGAAATGACTTGATCTTGTTCGCAGGTGCAGCTCCAGGAAGGTCTCCAGCGCAACCAATGGGCCCTGGACCGCTTGCTTTGATTAGAGGGTTTAGGGTTTAGAGTTGGGCCATGGATAGCTTGATTGAGGAGTTCAGGGTTCGCAGTTTTTGTAGGAGCGCATCTGAACACGGAGTGCTCACAGTCCTACACCTATGCTGCGCAGGATGTCTTGAAGCTTGAGTCTACCAAGCCGAGATGGCACATTCCCATTCGTGAGTTCATCGCACATCAACTCTCGTATTCAGATTCGCCCGAAACCCTAAACCCTAAAGCCTAAACCCTAAACCCTATCCCTAAACCCTAAACCCTAAGCCCCAGGACTGCCTGGAAGGAAAGCTGACGGAAATGCGGGCTGAGCTTGAAGACTGCCAGACGGAGGCATCGTGAACAGGGTCCTTCGTTGATTTCTTGGCATTGCAGAAGTGGCCTCACTCTATTGTATATGACAGTCTCTCTCTCTCTCTATATATATATACACACACCTATTTTAAACCTATATATGTATATATGGATATATACACATGTCTTGTGTGCGTGTGTTTGTTTGTTTGTTTGTTTGTTTGTTTGTTTGTGTTTGTTTGTTTTTTGGAAGACCTGAGATTTTCCATGAATATGGCAAATAGTTGCTGTGAGAACTTCTCACAGAATGCTTTACAGAATACAGAAGAAGAATGCATATATGCATATATGTATGTATGTATATATACATATATAGAATATATACATTATAAATAAATAGGTAAATAAATAAATATACGTATACATATATATATATATATATGTTTATATTTATTGATAACTTGTTTGCTCCCCCCCCCCCCCCCCCCCCCCCACCACAAAGATCTGCGGGTTTCCTTGTTTGGCGATGCGAAGCTGGAAACTTGAGGAGTCATGCTTCCGACGGCAGGCTCTCGAACTTTTTCAACATCAACACAGCCATGGCTTACTGTAGGGTTTAGGGTTTAGGGTCGGGCCTCATGAATTTGGGGAGTATTGAGAAAAAATGACGACCAGCAACTACGACAGCTGGTGGGCTTCCGAAATTGAAGCGAAAACCCCTCACAACGCAGCGGCTCACTCAGCTCCCGCTTGAAACTCTTTAGAATTTCGAAAGGTTTGCCCCCTCAATTGCCGCCTCTTGTTTGCCTCTTCTCTGCTCTTCATGACCTCTGCTGCTTCTTCCATCCCAGCCGCGGGGCTCTTGATTTTCCGCAACATTTCGAGGCGCTTCAGAACAGGCAGTGTTCATTTCGTGACGTCTTAAGGCTTCAGGGTGACAGTGTCAAGAACAAAGGACTTTTTTTAATCTTTTTTTGGGGGGAGGGGGGGGGTGTTAAGCAACTCGTGCAAAGGTCATGTTGGCTATATGAACATTATGCTAATCAGCTTCTGTCTATGATTCAAACAGCCATTCAATAATGAATATACCCGACCTTCTCCAATCACTTGTTCATCAACATGACTTTAAGACTCCTGAGGCAGTTCATATGGCCAACAGTCTCATTCTATTAATTATTTTCCTGAAAACTTTGCTTAAGTAAAATGTATTTGTTCTGCTTGTTCTGTTCTTTAACAACAAGTACCTCGTGAGATGAGAATAGGTTGGTTTGAGCTTGACATCGCCCCTTGAGCTGGTGGTACTGTCCTCAAGTACCTCATCCAAATAGATTCTTCATGCCACGCTTGAAAGGAGCTAAGACAGTCAAGGATCTTCATTAAGTCAGTTTTTGTCCATGCACGTAGCATCTTTCGCCCCTGATTATTATACATGTTGGCGCCTGAGTACTATCCATGAGTTGACAGAATGTATACCAGCCTTCTAGTCTTCATGACTTTGATCAATTCACATACCAGACCCCAGTACCCCCCCCCCCCCCCAGTTATGTAGAATTCACTTTACTACTGTTGATGGACGAAATCCTGCATCACTTTTATTACGCAGGCCATCCCTTCCAAACCCTGAATCTTAACATTGCTGTCCTTGCAATGCTTCGAAAGGGCATTCGTGTGAATGACCGGAATCCGGCATCATCCACACGCGCACGCAACATTGCTGTCCTTGCAATGCTTCGAAAGGGCATGCGTGTGAATGACCGAAATCCTGCATCATCCATATGCACACGCAACATTGAAATTCGAGGGGCGCGGGGAGCTCGATAACCAACCGTCGCACACGTGTAACGTAGGGGGTCATGCAAGATTTTGTCCATTCACAGTCTCGGACAAGATAACTTACTGACTTGTGACTGCAGGGCTGCCTTGGCAAGAGTTGTTGCTGGAATGGAATTGGGAAGAAAGTCGGAGGTGTACTTTTTGCAGCTTCAAGCCTTAGCTCTCCTCTTGCTTGGGCATGGCCAAGCACTAGAGTGAAATGCAGCGTTTTGCAAGTTTCAAATTCGTTTCCGTAGTTTCAAATTAGTTTCCAATCAGTTTCAAATTAGTTTCAAAATCCAGTTGCAAAATCGCTGTTAAGGGTAATCTGCATTTTTCGGCGCGCAATTCCAAAGGAATCTCAGAGGTTCCTGGTGTTCAAAAAGCACGGGCAGAATTTGCAGTTCCCCCTTAACAGCGATTTTGCAACTGGATTTTGTAACTAATTTGAAACTCATTGGAAAGTAATTTGAAACTATGGAAACCTATTTGGAACTTGAAAAATACCATATTTCGGGCTTTCGGCCCCCATCCTGGCCCCTCACATACGGCCGTTAACTTTGGTCAGCCATGACTGAGACCAGAGAGCTTCCGAAAGCTTGCCAGTCTCCAGACAGTAGGACCGGGAGTAGGCCCTGTCTTCCTTTTTTTGGGGTTGGGGTTCCCTTCTCATCCCCTTAAAACCAAAAGGGGTACCCGCTTTATTATTAGGTTATAATTCCGGGTCTAGTTTAGGGAGTGCGGCCACGGGGACCGGGACCATGACGCCGGAGGATAATCCAGTGTAAAGGCTGCGGGAAGCGGTCGGTGTGTAGCTCTGCGTGAGCCCGACATGGCAGAAGATGTTCGTAGAAGGAAGTTTTGGGCTTTAGGGTTTAGGGTTTAGGGTTTAGGGTTTAGGGTTTGGAGATCTTCATGCCGAAGACAGCTTAAGAGTGATACTTAATCTCAAGCCTGACCGATTACGCACCTCAATGTGCTTAAGCGGCCCACCAGATCAAAGATTTGGTATATTTCGTTCCCTTCCCATAACCAGGTTAACTCAACTTGAACATATACAGACCTTTTGGGGGGATGCATATATTCATGTACAACATGCTAGATAATATGGCGTATCTTATCAGATGCAAGGCAACATATAGTTAGTACAATATAAACATGACACTAACACGCCGAACATGATCGTCCATATTCAAGTATATGTGTGTAAAAGCCGAATATCACATAGCCTCGTAATTAACATGCAAATAAGAAATTAAGTCCAAACCCGAACCCTACACCCTCAACGCCAACCCTAGACCCTAGACCCTACACCCTAGACCCTGGACCCTAAACCCTAAACCCTAAACCCTAAACCCTAAACCCTAAACCCTAAACCCTAAACCCTAAACCCTAAACCCTATACTATCTCAGCTCAATGTGCTCTGATCAGGCCAGCTTCCATGTCCGTGCGGCGCTGGCTTCACACGTCAAGTCCGGTTGGAAGGTGAGGGCCGCCCATAAAGGGGGGTGCTTATAATCATATAGGGTTTAGGGTTTAGGGTTTATACGAAAATAGGGTTTAGGGCTGAGGGTTTAGGGCTTTGGACCCCCCAAATGGTAAGATCGCCTTAGAACAAGGACCCCGAAATAGGTCCCCCGAAGTATCGTGAACCCTCATGCAATACCATGGTCACAGTAAGAACATGTACAACTTACGTGCTGTGTAGTGGTCATGGCCTTTCTGGCATAGAGACAGATTTGTGTGGTATGGAGTTTCCGAGCCAACAGAGGCAGTCGACTTCGCAAGGGGCCCAAGTAGCCCTAGAAAACGCATAGCATCCGGTCCCGACAGCAGTTTACCCCAAACCCTAAACCCCTAACCCCTAAACTCTAGCCCTAAACCCAAAACCCTAAACCCTAAACCCTAAACCCCTTTTCCCCGACTTAAATGGCGAAGCAGAGATGGAGAGGTTGCCTGCATGCTTCCCCACGAGCTCACCTGCCCCGTTGAGACGGCCTCTTGGGCAATTAATGTGGGTTTTAGGGCTTCGGGTTTAGGGTTTTAGGGTTTTAGGGTTTTAGGGTTTAGGGTTTTAGGGTTTTAGGGTTTTAGGGTTTAGGGTTTAGGGTTTAGGGGTTAGCCTCCTTGTAAGGGCAATATGGGGACTATTGTCTTTTGTATGTGGGGGGGGGGGGGGGGGTTCCTACGCATATAGTAGCTATAGGCTTAGGGTTTAGGAGGCCTGGTCGTGGGTTTCGAGTTGAGTTGACGGCGGTGTTGGGGAAGGAGCTCGAACCTTGGATGTTGGTGGAGGCCCTCAGCTGTGGCTAGTGTTGAGGCACTATGGAATACAAAATTCGGAGTCTCGTCCTCTAACCGGGGAGATGCTGGTTGTTTCAGAGCCGTCAATGATACGGTTCCCTTCTCGCACCACCCTCTGGTAGAATGAATATATATATATATACATATAGACTCAGGAGCAGGCCCCAACATCAACAAGTCCCCAAACTTTCGGCAACCACCCGGCTCCACACCCATCCAACGCTCAAACCGTCAAGCCTCGCACTTTGAGGTAGTGTCCGTCGCTGACAAGGACGAATACCTCTTCGTGTCATCCTCAGACTTAAGCAAGACTTTCCTAGTGGGATGCTGCACTGCAAGGTCTTGGAGGCAGCATGTTGGATCGGAATTACGCTCTGGGGGGTGGGGGGATGGGTGGGGGGGCCATGTCACGCCTTCTTGGCCGAGTGCTGCTGAGTGTTCGGCGCTTGCAGTGAGTGCGTGTTTCTTAACCCAAGAGAGAGTCAGCCTTTGCTCTATGCAAGGTCGAGTGGCTGTTTATGCGTTCGCTGGTGTCTCGGCTGCGACCTGCTGTTCCCTCCGAAACAGGGCCATGTGCAGCAGCTGAACGTCTCTCAGTTGGTTTTGCAAAATGCTTATAAGGTGCGACACCGCCACGCACATCTTCCGGACAAGTGGTGCAAAGTTCCCAACGCCCTTCAGCTGTCCAATGCATCTATGGGCCATCAAGGGTCATATGAAGTGCTTACAGGGCAAGCGTCGTTGCGGATCACAAGGCGTGGTAATCTGTACATTATGCGGCTACGCTATGCTAGGCTGATGCACTTCTCACACCAACTTTGCATAGTCTAGGAGTCTAGCAGCTGTAATAAGCTTAGGAGCCTTCAGGTTTCTTCCACCTACCCAGTACAAATGATTCAAAAAGTGCGAAAATGAGCAGATTAATTACAGGAAAATGAGTACTTCACACTGATTGAAAGAAAGTTTCCAAATCTACAACTTGCTGAAACACTGAGCTGCAACTTTAGAGCCTTGCGAGAACATGCGTGGACAAGACGGCCGGCCGTATGCCTTCCAGCGCCAAAAATTGCACAATCTGAGCCCGGCTTGAAGCATCTACCAGGATGGGGGTCTTAGGCCTTATAGTCACCATCATGAACCCTATAAAGGGCCTTTTTAAAGGGATTATAATTTGGCCTTATAATCCCCATAATGAGCCCTATAAAGGGCCCTTTAAGGGATTATAGATTCTAGGGTAGAATAGCCCATCCTGGTATTCTCGTAACCCCCCCCAACTTGTGTGCTTATCCATGGCTGTTGGGGTTTGCTGCTGAGACAATGGCCAGCAGGTGAAGATCCTCCAGGTTGAGAAAATCAGGAGCAGGAGCTGAGCCAACAGGGTTAGGGTTTAGAGTTTAGGGTTTAGGATTTAGGGGGGGTTGATAATGCTTAGGTTTCATGGTGAAGTTATCAGAGCATGCTAGTACTGGTAGGAGGATGCAGAAGGCCGCTATATGTGTTTCGACTCGATGTACTTGAGGGGGGTTACCTCAACTCGGAATGCATGGCATGAGCTGCTTCTTCCTATGCTGCTTCGTTCTTCCTGCCATTTCCTGCCCTTTCTCAACATCCGGCTGCTGAACATCCTCAGTCCGGACCGAAAACCCCGACCAGGGGGCGTTTCTCCGTGCGCAGGACCTTCCTCAAACGCTACATGCTTCGGCGTGATGAGGCACTGGCCATGTTGATCTTGGGGGCGTTTCTTCGATCGTGTATTGGGTGTTTCGGACCCTAAGCCCTAGACCCTAAACCCCTAAACCCTAAACCCTAAACCCTAAACCCCTAAACCCTAAACCCTAAACCCCAAAACCCACTCCAAGAGTGGGGGCTGATGTCGAATCGGTTCCGCAGGAGTGGAGCTGTCAGGCTTTTTTTTCGGGCCCAGACTTGACGGAGTTCGAGTTGTTCTCACGGTTAAAGGGGGGGCTTAGGGTTTAGGGATTTAGAGGGTTTAGGGTTTCGAGGGTTTAGGGTTTAGAGGGTTTAGGGTTTAGGGTTCAGGGTTTAGGGTTTAGGGTTTAGGCTTTCTTTCGGTGGCATTGGGTGTCTCAAGGCTCCCCCTGAAAGGTCGAAGAAGAGCGGAGCGGCCGCACTTGCCCCAAGATCCGGCGGCTCGGGCACTTCTCGGAGTTGCTATATCCTCCTGTCTTTTTTTGTTTTTTTTATAAGTTGCTTTGTTGATATAAAACCTAAGAGGATACTAACAAATATGTATTTATTGAGGTTCTAAGGATAGTATAGGTTGAGGCTTGGGTTTGGGATGCTCCCCCTCATACAACAGCAGTCTTCAAGAGAGGGATTATAGTACGCAATTACCATCCCACTTTAAAAGAGGGATTATAGTACCCAACTACAATCCCAAGTGAGGGCTGTATTAAAATCAGTAGTCTTCTTAAGAGATCTTAAGAGGGAAGATGATAGTACCCCCAATCATAATCCCTATTAAGGGCTGTATTGGTATAAGGGGGGACATCCCCCAGCTGGGGTTAACTTCGGTAAGTAACATGACCATAGTGGCTGGCAGCGCCAGTAAAGTCATGACAGCACGTGACATAAGAAGAAAAATAGAATAGAAAGGGATGATCTGGAAAGCGTCGCCACATCACATGGTTGGATTGGTTTTGACAGGGTTGACAGGCCAAATATCTCGTAAGGCCTCAAACCTTCCGTGCTTTTTGCAAAGTTGCTGCACGGTTGCATAGTGCCTTTGTGGGAATTCAAGGTTTGGCGAGCGTTTGTTGCCCGAACTCGGTCTCAGCATGTCAAAGGCTTGAAGGATCACTCCGCATCCCCGTAAGATGGCCCAGAGGCCCTCGGAGTCTTCAGGTGTGATGGGTGGCTCTTGCAGAGTCTGGAACAACGCTTGGGAGTTCCATTTCTCCCATGTGTCTGGTAGGAGGCTATCAGCTGTTTGGGTTGAGGATGGCAGACGCAAGGCGCCCCGATCAGTTGCGGCGCAGACGCATTCCTAAAGCCCCATGCCAGAAGCCAGTTCAACCTTGGCACGTATGACAGGATCCGTAGCCCTCTCCCAGCCCGTTGTGCCGTTTTTTCCTTCCTTCTCCAAGGAATCCTTTATGTCCCAGCTTAGTGTGACACATGCGGACGCCGCTTTCTAGCTACCCTCTCATGCCCGGAGTCCTAGTTTCCGGGTCCCAAGACGAACAGGCCTAACTTCATGAAGCCCCCCCCCCCCTTCAAAATGACTCTAAAGCATCTGAAAGCCCAGGGACATCAAGACTCGCATTGACAAGAAAGTCAGCGAGCGACCTTTCGAAGATGAGGTTTGCCCTTGCCCGGACTCGAACTTGAACGAGGTGCCCAAAGCTTACCTTTTCCTTTTTCCTTTGCCATAGTTGGGTAAGGTACCATTTTACGTTTCTAAGGGTACTTAAACCCTATAAGGAAACAAAAATTAGATTCTTAATATTCTCCCAACCATGAGCTAGTTTCGGGGGGAGGGCGAGGGCGGGTCGCCCTACACCCGAGTGTGTACAAGCTAGGAGTCCGGCGGAGTGGTTTAGGGTTTAGGGTTTAGGGTTTAGGGTTTAGGGTTTAGGGTTTAGGGTGTCCAGCTACGCAGGCCGCCCCCCCCCCCCCCCCCCCCCAAAAAAAAAAAAAAAAAAAACCTGAACCCTAATCAATCGAACGAGCTTGGGCGCGGCAAGCGACGAAATCTTTGCAGGTGCTGCTCTTCCATGGCACCACCGAGGAGCCTCTGCCTTTGTGGTTTTGAAGCCCTTTTAGGTTTAGGGTTTAGGGTTTAGAGCACCCTGACACGCACGGTATGTTTCATCGAAACCCCTTTTAACAAAGGACCCCCTAATGTCTTTTAGGGAGCCCCCCCCCCCCCCCCGCCGTGTCGGCGGCTTTTTTCTCGGGCCCGGTGCAACAAGTTTCGAGGACTTAGGGTTTAGGGTTCAGGGTTCAGGGTTCAGGGTTTAGGGTTTAGGGTTGCGAGGCATGGAAGTAAGGGCAGCAGTCGAGTCCCTGATGAAAAAGGGTGAGGGTTTGGGGCAACTGTTAGGGCTAGGGGTTTCGAAGGGCTTAGGGTTTAGGGTTTAGGGTTTAGGGTTAGGGGTTCCAAGGGCTTGTTGAACAGGGTTGAGAAGGGCTTCGAAGGGTTTGGGGGGTTACATGGAGGGATTCTTCGAAAGCTCTATGGCTGGCGCTGTTTCCACGAGAGAGCCAGGAAGAGCAGTCTCCACCCTAGACTATTTGGGGGTTTACGCAACTAAGGGGTACCGCATTAAGGTCCTTCTTGTAAGGGAATCCTGCTACTTGGGAGTTTAGATTAGGGGACCCTTACTTCGCAAACCACAAAAACCCTGGTTCAGAAGGAGAAGCTCGCGGGTATCCTCAGCTCCGGGTTCGATCCTCGTCTTGCGGGCATGGGAACCGGCGCCATGCTGCTCAGCTGCTGGAGAAGGTTTAGGGTTTGGGGTTTAGAGTTTTTAGGGTTTAGGGTTGTTCTTAAATTTAAGGCCAGTAGCCATAGAGAAGGGTACCCTTTTTGGTTGGTTGCTTTATATAATAAGGAAACTTTGGGTTGTTCTTAATTTGGCCAGGAACCATACTGTGATATCTGTGATAAGGGTACCCTTTTTGGTTGGTTAGTTTATAAGGGAACCCAGAACCAAAAGAAATGGGTCAGAGGATTCTTTGGGAGTCGAAGGGCCAAAGGGGCTGGGGAGGGGCTTGGGGTTTCAATGCAAGGAAAAGATTGCACTGTGAAGCGTGTAGGGTTGCGCCCTCGACTGCTCACTTACTCATGTTGACAACAACATTGAAACGGACAGACAGAGACACACTGAAGCAGACCGAGAAGCAGCATGAAACAGCATCGATCACATACTCCAGAGTTCACAAATCTCCGAAACCGAATTTGCCTCGATCAGGTTTGGTCAAGGCACCTATTTCGCGCACAACGCCTCGAAGTGCTTCCGATATGCCCGCCAGGGTCCTTTTCTCCACAGCGGGCAGTCCAGGAAGCTCAGGCAAACCGTTCTGGTGGCAGCTAAGCTGCATTACGGCCCTCTTTTGCCCCAATCTGCCAAGAAATCCGACAAATCCACAAAGGTTGATTATCACCCTAAACCCTAAGCCCTAAGCCCTAAACCCTAAACCCTAAATTCCCTTTGTAGGCATTCTCTAGGGGCGTGGCATAAGCTGGTTCGAGCTCCGGCCGCAGGATCTTCGGGATGTATATGAAGCAGGGTTTTGTATTTCTGTTTGTTGTGAGCGTATATATAAGGTTCCTTTTTTATATTGGTGAGTGTATATATTGGGTGGCCTTTTGGGGATACAAGAAATATAAGCCCTACTTCATATGAAGCAGGGTGTTATATTCCTGTTCTTTTGTGAGTGTATTTATAAGGTTCCTTTTCTTTCACATTGGTGAGTGTATATATTGGGTGTCCTTTTAGAAGGAATATAAACCCTACTCCATATACACCAAAAAGACCCAGATCAAAATTCCCAATTGCCCGAAGATTCTCTATTGGATTTCGATTCCAGTCCAAGTGTGAAAGGTTCAAACCCTAAACCCGAAACCCGAAACCCGAAACCCTAAACCCTAAACCCTAAACCCTAAACCCTAAACTAAACCGTGTCCAGGCCAGGGCTCTCCTCGGCAACCCGTTCTACCAGAGCATCTTGGCCCCCCAAAAATACAGGATCCATATCTCCGCCTTATTGGGGTCCTTATTAAGGGGTTTAGGGTTTAGGGTTTTGGGGTTAGGGGTACCTTATTGGGGTCCTTATTATAAGAGAATCCTGCTATTTGAGGGGCTATATTCGGGGTCCCTTTTTTTCGTAAATCCCATATACTTGGATGTAGCTTTGAGTCCGCAGGCATCTCCCGTGCATACCCACACGAATCGATTTGGTTCTAGACATGTTGACGGCTTTCGAGTGGAATTCAAGCTACTAGGTTTGATTCATACTGTCTTTGGACTTCCGGCATTCGCAGTGCGTAATTCAGCCGAATCTTCCAACTTTGCGCACCGCAAGATCTTCAGTCTCAGAGGAGTTTCTGCTACTCACAAGTCCTGTTGGCCAGCTTAAGATGCCTACCTTAAGAGGACCTGTCCTGCAACCTCCCCCCCCTCCCTTTTTCAGCTAGGGAGGAGCATGTCGCACTTCACAGTTCATTCTAAGCCCACACCCTATACCCCCCCTTCCCCCCAATGCTTCTGCGTCTAAGGTACCCTAAACCTACCCTACGCCACCATACCCAAACCATAGTAACCTCCCAAAACCTTAACTTTTTCCAATACAAACCCTAAACCATGCATGCAGCAGCAAAAGATCTTCGCAAATTTCTGGCGCAGCATCTTATGCCCGGGGGCCGGTGATCTCAAGAAGGGAGCAGGAGAACACCCGCTCGTATGCCCGAACGCAGCAGCGATCAGAGCAGATACCTCAGGAACCCGACTTATGAAACTGAGCTGAGGCTGAGGCAATGGACGTCCCTCCCTTATTTTGGGTCATCAAGTACGCCTTAGTGCTGGAATTAAGAGACCACGTTTGCCCAGGCTTACGCGCCAACACCAGACCTGACAAAATCAAAGCCACAGATCAAACAAAGCGCGACTGGACAAGTGAGAGGGATGCAAGAACGAATAACATGCAAGGTAGGCAAATCGGTAGGCGGTGCTTGTGTGGGTTGAAAGCCTGCGTGACGCATTGGCTGAATCGAAGGGCCGCTCATTTGCATAGGTACTGTTGTCGTCTCAGCGACCCCGTGCATGTGTTGCCCTTCGTTCATGTTGCTATGGAAGGGAATTACCAGCTTCCCTGCATGCCCCAGATTACACTGACCTGGGTAAGGTTCTAGACTTTAGGGTAAAATTAGATTAGGGTGGCATCTCGCAGTATTTCGTAATTGGATAAGGATTCTATTTTGGAAAAGGTTAAGGAATCGGGTGGTTGTTATGGTTTAAAGTTTGCATTGGATAAGGTTAAGATTTTGGGAGGTTGCGATGATGTGGGTACGGTGGTGTAGGGTGGGTTTTAGGATACTGCTTCAGAAATGAGGTAGAAGCGTAGGATGAACTGGGAAATGCTCCTCCCCAACTCCCTTACCCCCCACCTTTGGATCCTTCTCTCGAAGATTGCAAGGTACGATGTGGATTGGGTTTAGGGTTTAGGGTTTAGGGTTTAGGGTTTAGTGTTTAGGGTTTAGGGTTTAGGGTTTAGGGTTTAGGGTTGCCAAGGTACGATGTGCCCTGAGCAACGGCTGCCCCCTTTGGGGTTCGACTCAAGGAGCCTCGGGCTGGGGATAAACCTGGTTTAGGGTTTAGGGTTGAGGGTTTGGGGTTTAGGGTTTAGGGTTAGAAGTTTCCCAGGGTCCAAAGATAGAAGTATTGCGAACGGTTGTAATGTTGCTCTGTCTTTAGTATGCCCCCCGCCCCCCCCCGCCCCCCACAACTTTGGACCCTCTATAAACGCATGGTGCGGCGACCCCCCAAACAAATTGGGGGGAACCGCCCTCAGGGCCTCAAGCCTTCAGGACCTCAAGGCCTGAAGCTTTCCCGCCTTTAAGATTCCTGGAGCCCAAGGCCGACAGGGCCCCAAGCCTTACTGCGGAAGCCCTTAACCCAAAACACAAGCCCTTTAAAAAGACAAGCATCCGTAAAAAAAAAACTATAGAGGGTGACACAACAAATAAACCTAAACTGCGTTGGGCTGGCCCGTGGACTACCTATCCAAAAAATCTCGTTTCATATTGAGGCTTACATGGAACTGGATTCTCCGGGCTCCGCCTCTTTAAGATTCCTGAGCCCAAGGCCCTCAGGGCCTCAAGCCTTACTGTGTAAGCCCTTAAAACAACAACGTCTGGAAAACAACTTGTGACAATAACAGGTACCTCCAACACACTCGGTTCGCAGAATAAATTTTGGAAGCTTGTGATCATAGACCCTCCTTACACTAAAGTCATTCCAACTTTACAGCTAATCTGGCAATAACAATATCAACATTATCAATGAAGGCAAGACGAAGCAAGTACGAACCCATTGCAAAGAACATGGTAGCTCCAGGAGACGTAGAGAAGACTCGTAAGATGGATGATTGTTGCCGGATGCTAGTTGAAGTTGATACGGGCATTGGGGTCGTGCCTCCAACTGTAACTGTGCAAACCCCTGGCAGGATTGCCTTGTCAAGGGCAGAAGGCGGATGCGTAGATCATCGCGACACCATGCCGAATTGACTTGGGCACGCAGGGTGGAGGTGCAGGGCAGTGCAGGGAAAGGACTGTTTCGGACGAAAGATTGCCTTGCCCCTGCTCCCCAGAACCATTCAGTAGGCAAGGTGTAGAAAAAGTGGTGAAATTGTGTGTGATTGCTTGCTGACTGGGCAGAAAGTCCCACGGTGTGAGGAAGGCTTTGTCGCTCTTGAAATCGGGGAGTGGGTCTATACTCGCAAAGCCCCCCACCCCTCCATCCCCCCAAAGAAAAGCTGAAAGACTCTGAAGACTGGAACGTCGAGAAGAAACCGGTACCCTTTTGTCAGCCAAGAGCAGTCCAACCACCAACCAAAATGCTCCTACTGCAAGCCCTTGCCCCTCCATACATTTCCGTGCACCCAAATTCCCAATCATCACAAGCCAAGGAGTACACCCTGTACGACAGGGGATCCATTTTGCCGCTCTACATCGTAGAGTTTGAGCACCAGGAAGATTGCGGATGCTGCGTGTGTACTGCATAGGAGCACGCGTCAGGCTAGGACACCGGGGCACAGCAGCAGCTCGTCACTGCTCCGGCCACTGGGTGCCTGGCTCTTTCCGAGACAACCTCTCATCGTAGAGATGCGGAGGCTTCCGATGGCCGGCAAGGCTTTGTGAAATGAGGAGTAGCAAATGTGGCAAACTAGGAGACCGAATTGCGCAGCGGCAACACGGTGTATCACCCTGTGTTCTTCGATTACCATCTCACTCTTTTCGGTGTACTGCCATTCCTGACTCTGCAGTAATCTACATCTTTCTCTTTGAGCTGGCCCTTTCCCACTAGCACTGACTGTGCCTCAACCACTCCTGATGTGATCGAAATATGCCCACTCTAGGGGTCACTAAGTTCGGTTACACGGCGGTTGTCGAGAGTCGACAGCCCGCAGAGCCTCCGACTTGATTTTAGTCGTTGCAAGGAGAAATTCGTTTTTCCCCGCCCTGGCAGATGGTTCGGGACAAGGCCTCGCGTTGGAACTGAGGAGAAGTTTCCCCAACATGTTCAGAAGTTTGGGTTATCGGGTTGGGTGTTGCGTTTAGGGTTTAGGGTTTAGGAGGTTCGCAATCTTCAACTGACTACGTCAAAGTCCCATCGAGCTGCCTGGGCGAGTTTTTTTCGATGCAGCGCGGCGCGTTGAGCGCAGCGACTGCTGCTGAACAGAAGGCTCGGTCTTCCGCTTCAACCCTAAACCCTCTAAACCCCAACATGTAGTTAAAAAAAAACTGTTACTTCGAACATCCCCACCCTCTCTGGGTAGAGATACTCTGGGGTTGGGGCACTCCAGGGACACTCTGGGGTTGGGGTTGGGCACTCCCAGGACGCTTTGGGGCTGGGCACGCCACTCTGGGGTTGGGCACTCTGGGGTTGAGCACTCCACAAACACTCTGGCACTCCAGGGACACTCTGGGGTTGGGGATGAGCGAGGAGTAGACCGGGCGAGGAGAGATTTCCGCGGTGAGGAGAAGAGTTGAGTTTAAAATCTAAGAACCCCACACCGAGGGCGGGCAAAAGCCTCTGAACCCAAAAACCCTCAAGCGCATGGACTGGTCTGTACCGGGCCCTGATTCCTAGACCGTCACAGCAAGCCGTTCCGAGCAGCAGCAAATTTGAAACAGTGCGCTAAGTGCCCAAAGGTGCGTATGTCTTGGCGCAGATCGCAGCTCATTGGACGTTGCCCAACGGTGCGTGTCCAGAGTTTCCCTTAATACCGCCATACTTGCAAGGGGGTTTTCTGCAAGCCCAGCAATTAATGGGCAGCTTCGTTCCCCCCCTGCAATGGCAGCTCCTAGCTTGGGGCATTCTGTTCGCCAAGCAGTGCTTACAGTTTCGGTCCACCATTTTTTTTAATATAGTGCCCAGCATCGAAGCCAGGGAAGCCTGAAGCTCTGCAAGTCTCGCGTGGAGAGTGTGACATATCTATGTGTGTATAAGAGAGAGAGAGAGAGACACACACGCACGCACGCACACACACACACACAAAGACAGACAGAGCTCGAATGAGAGAGAGAGAGAGCACCGAGCACCAGTTTCACGCAAAGCAAAGGAAAGGCAAGGAAAGGAAAGGAAAGGGAAGGGAAGGGAAGGGAAGTGAGCGAGAGAGAGTGCAGTGATGGAGGCGAGGATCCTGTTGTCAAGGGGCTTGGGCGCAGTCCACCAGAAGGTGGTGCACGCACTCGCGCCGAGGGTCCGCCCCTGAAGCGCCTCGAAAGAAATTCGAGAGAGAGAGAGAGAGAGGGGAGAGAGTCAGACTTCTGCCCTGTCCTCCATGCCCGGTAGAAGAAGAAGAGTCAGTCCTTTCTGCTTCGTGAATGCGCATGGTTTTACTCAGGATAAATATGTACATACAAATCAAGAGACTTTTGAGCTTCAGGATTGGCTTTATGGTCCTCTGAGTGCTTTCCGTGAACAACGTGTCCTAAGCTGACCAGAGGACTGTTTTCGCCTCGGCTTCCTGCCATCAACGGGAACTTACCTTTGTCATAGTGGGGTAACATGTTGCATTTTTATGGGTACTTAAACTCAATCAGGAATACACATTTAGATGTTTTCTACTATCCCAACCATGAACTGGTTGCTTCTAGATACTAGTTCATGATTTGTAGTGGATTCCTGCACGGTTTCAAATCCTAAATGCCCCATCTGCGAAGCAAGCCATCAGTGTCCTGCACATGCCTTGATTCATCCCGAATTCTATATGACATCCAATGCGTTTAGGGTTTAGGGGTTGGGGGGCTTAGGGTTGAGGGTTTAAGAGTTTCAGGATTAGGGTTTAGGGGGTTTAAGGGTGAACGCAGAAGGACTTGTTGGAAGCCTTGAACCCTCGACCTGGCGCCACAGGCGTCCAACTAACAGATGAGCGTGGGCACATATCCAGGGAGTCGATACAGGAGTACAGGTTCCTTGAAAGTCGGTTTGGGACTTCTAGGAGTTGATGTGCCCCCCCCCCCCAACATGCTAGAATACTGATTGTAAGGACCTAGGGTACCCCAGCCTAGTGGCCTGAAGTTGCTGGTGTAGGGCTCTAGAAATTCAGGTGCCGAAGTGTCCGCAGAGCATGCAGTGACTGAGCTGCTCTCCTGGACTTTTTCTTATCCCCTTGATTTTCACCAGCAGCGCGCGTGTGACACAACTACCGAAGTCTGAAGTTACACCGCTGCTGATGTCCGAGGCTTGGGACGTGGCTTGCACTTTGGAAGCCATTTCAGCACAGTGGCATCAATCTCCAAAGCTCCGCTGGCCTGCACCCATCGCGCACACTTCGGGATCATTTGTCCGACATGTTGACTTTTTGGTCACTCCTCTACAATCTGGTCCTTCATGGGGGTCCTTAAATATCCCCCGCCGTCTCTTGGATCCTAAACCCTGAACGCTAGACCCTGACCCCGAAACCCTGCACCCCACATAAAAGAGTCCTTAAGGGAGGGGGGTTCAAGGAGGGAGGGGGGTGTAACCCAAGCTTCCCTATTACTCCCCCCTCCTTTAAGAACCAATTCCCTAGACCCTAAACCCCAAACCCCAAACCCTAAACCCCAAACCCCAAACCCCAAACCCTAATATTGATCGCATTGACTTCAAGTCCGTGTCAACCCCAAACCCTAAACCCCAAACCCCAAGCTCTAAACCCTAAGCCCTAAGCCCTAAGCCCTAAGCCCTAAACCCTAAACCCTAAACCCTATCCGGGTTCGGAGACGAACAGCTTGGAGCTTGGGCCCCTCGGCTCCATTCGGAGCGTAGATTCGCTTCGAGGACATGCTGGATTTAGCCTGACCTTCTTGGGGTACGTGGATCCTGTCTTGTGGGTTTTGGGTTTAGGGTTTAGGGTTTAGGGATACTTGGATATTGTTTTGTAATTCTTGGGTATACTTGTAGTTCCTCAGAAACAGCGAAAAGTATAGTTGACCCTTTCTAGGGCTGCCTGGGATTTTTTTGTAAGTTTTGGGTATACAGAAATTCCGAAGAAACAGCTAGCAGTATAATGGACTTAGCCTATTCGGCAGGCCCTTGCGACATTTCATATTTCCCTCTTTGGGTTGAAGGGGACTATGTTTGATATTCTTCAGTGGGCTTTAAGGGCCGCCCTTGCCTATGACAAGAGCCGCCCGCTTATTCTGAACAGATCCGCAGATTCTGAGCCTCGGAAAGTTCAAGAAAGGACAAGGCACGGATGCGAGGCCTCTAGAAAGCAGCAGGCAGCAGCTTGTATGACGGGCAGTGGCCGAAAGTCCTAAATCTTCTTCCGCAGGAGAAGCAGTGTTTGATACCCTGAACAGCTCCAAGCCCCCCCCCCCCCATCCTGCCTAGAATATTCAAGCTCGGAGCCTAGCTCCATAGTTCCCACGTTTCAATTTCATCTTCAACATAGGCAGATATCAAGTTCTCTTACATCACTTCACATTCGCCTAGGTCTGAGTGGACATCCACTGTTGGACGCTCTTTTTTGTATTTGGAAGTGTATGACACCTTTGGGATGGGGCCACTCTGATCGGCCTTGGGTCCTCAGAGCTTCAAGGGTTTAGGGTGGCGGGTTTAGGGTTTAGGGTTTAGGGTTTAGGGTTCAAGGGTTGAACTTGGCTAGCTACAGCAATTCCTTACTGAAGCTGAGCTAAATCCGGAGAACGCCACGGGCGAGCACCACAACGGCCGCCCAGACAGCACATGTCTGCAGTAAGCAGCCCTGAGTGAGAAAAGGAGCGCCAATGCCTCAAGCTTGCATCGAATAGGAATCAATATTAATATGCTTATGTATATACATATGTGTATGTGCACATACGAGTGAGTATGTATAATCGGACCTGCAGGACGTAATATTGCCTACAAGCGCCAAGCTCCTCAGAAGCGAAAAATGCCCTTCATCGAAGGCTGGCCTTGTGGCCCAATGCAAAGCTGTCTTCAGAGCCGGACGCCTGAGATTTTCCGCATCGCAGTGTGCATCTGACTTAGTGGTGCTAGAACCGTCTTGCTTATGTCCCGATGCAGGGCCCTTGCTGTATGTCAGGTTTACGCGATCATGTATCAAGTTTAGGAAGTTTTAAAGATCCCAACAAATCAGCACGAACCCGGCCTATCAGCGCTTTGTGGATGCTCCGTTGTCTTGTGTTTCGAATACCTCAAAGCGGCGTCAATTTTTCAGCTGAAGCACCCAACGCTTTGGGCCCAAGATGAGACTCTGTGTGTCCCAACAACCCTCATCATGCTGACCTGAACTGACGTTTGGGGTTCTGGTGTTAATGGTGCCTTCCCTTGCCGGACCTTACTTGACGTTCAAGAGTCGGAGATGCGCCATGTTCTGACCAGAACCTTCCGAAGCCCGTGTGCGCGAGTGTGAGAGTCAATTCGAAGCCCAGAAGCCTCTAGTCACTAGTCGGAAGCCTTGCCCCCGAAACCCCATGAACCACCCATAAATCCTATAAACCCTCAAATAAACACCCGCCAGCATTCTCAGAAGGCCTGCGGCTCCAAGTACTGCCGCGCCTGGATCCGAGTGTGGGAGCCTCAGCCGATCTCTGCGTGTCACAGAAACCAAAAGATGCCAGAAAGGCGTAGGGGGGGGGGAGGGGGGGGGGTGGAATCCTGAGCCCTATAAGATCCTATAGAATCCTACAAAACCTCGCAAAACTCTACCAACACCCCATTTAACACCCGATAAGACCCTATTAGAACCAACCCTGTAAACATTATAAACCCCTTGAAGGGTTTGCACAGATGTCGGCAAGTTGCGGGGGGGTCAGATCGAACCCTTCGGAGTGATGAGCTCAGGGGCTTGCACCCTCGCGAGTGTGCGGCAAAGTAGCTCCAGGTTTAGGGTTTAGGGTTTAGGGTTTATAAGGGTTAGGGTTTAATGTTGGACTCGCTCTAGTGCGCAGGGCCCCCCCCCTCCCCAAACAATTTTGGGGTTTTCGGGGATCCTGAATAGTGTGGGCTGGGGTCGTCGTCGTCGTCGTCGTAGTAGTAGTAGTAGTAGGAGTAGTAGGAGTAGTAGTAGTAGTAGCAGCATCTGCATCAGCGGAGACGAAAGAAACGAGCCTTCAGCTTCCTTTTGTTCTCTCTAAGTCAACCAGCTCAGGCATTTTTCCCCTAGTCGGCAACCCCGGCCGGGCAAACATCGCATAATTGAGGACCACCCTACACAATGGGGGGTCCCCTATAGGATTTCCGGAATATCGCATAATCGTGCCCCTTCTCACTAAAGCGGGTGCAACATTATAAGGGTTAGGGTTTAGGGTTTGGAAGTTCCGAAGGTTTAGGGTTTAGGGTTGAGTTTAGGGTTTAAGGTTTACAGATTTTACAATTTTTGCTGAAGGGCCGGGGGTTGGACAGGGACGGTGGTTGTGATGGTTGGAGCTGTTTTACCAGTCGCTGCGGGAGAGTACCCCTTGACTCTCGTGTGTAGACATGTCAGCTTGCAGAGTGTGCCGATTATTGGAAGCCCTTAGCCGCCTTAGCCCAACGCAAGGCCAGAGAATGAGCATGACTTTGCTCTCTTAGCATGTTCCCACTTATACTAACAGTCCTTAAAACCGATTATAATAGGGGGTACTGCAATCCCTATTAAGGGCTGTTAGCAGAAGGGGGAACATCCCTGTTAGTATAACAGGGAAACATTCCAATCGCTATACTTCGCCTACCCGGCCTGAGAGACTCATTTCGTTTCGAAGGCTCTATCATCCACAGCGCGCCCGAGGATGTCTTTGGGTAAAGGGTTGGTGTGACTTCAGCTGGTTCAGGACGTCATCTGGGGCTTACGAAAATTGTTGGGACCTCAACATTTTGACCCCAAATAGTAGGAGCCATAATACTAATAAGGACCCCAAGAAGGTACCCCTACTTTCGGAAACCCCATTCCTATGCTTCCCAGAGAAGTGCTGTTGGTACACCATGGTCGTAGACAAATACTACGTACTGTGTGGCCACTACATCTGGCCGCCCTTTGTTGCTTACAATTCTTAAGAACAGTGTTTGAGAGATATTGGGTGACGCATGCTTTTTTGGAGACAGTTCTTATATTCCTTATACCAGATTCTATGGGCACGTCGCATACTCAAATTGACATCTTGAAGTGTTGCTCAGGGTGTCGCAGGGTTCGACCGGTAGCTTAGGGTTTATATATATATATATATATATCTTTGTATGTATATGTTTGGGGGGGATTATACAATACTTGGATACAAGAAGAGGTACCCAAAATCTTGTATAAATAATGAGGGTTCAAGATCTTGGCGATATGCAGCATTGCCTTTTGGGCTGGTGGCTCTGGCTGCAAAGGCTCTGACGCTGCATGCGCCGCATCTCCGCCTGTAATCCAAGTGTGCTCCGACCCCACCGCCAGTCGTCCAATGTCCTTGCACCCAAATCCCGTGCATACTCCCCACTATGCGTCTACTCTGCTAGCTAGCCCTAAACCCTAAGCCCTGCTAAACCCTTAACCCTAAACTCTAAACCCTAAACCCAAACTCCCATTTGCTCAGATACAGAAAACAGCGCCGAGCGAGCCCAAACTGCCCCAAAATCCGTGTGCCCCCCCATGGGCTCTGGCTACTGGCTGGGCGGCTTGCTGGTCACGGCCGTGAGCTTCGCGCTGCCGCGCCTTGCATTCACAAGGGTTTAGGGGTTTTAGGGGGTTTAGGGTTTTAGGGGGTTTAGGGGTTTTAGGGTTTTAGGGGTTTAGGGTTTTAGGGGTTTTAGGGGTTTTAGGGGTTTTAGGGGTTTTGGGGTTTTAGGGGTTTTAGGGTTTTAGGGGTTTAGGTGTTTTAGCGGTTTTAGGGTTCAAGGGTTCAAGGGTTCAAGGGTTCAAGGGTTCAAGGGTTTAGGCTTTAGGATGTCGTGACATGGTAAACTCCATGGGGGCCCTGAAGGGTGGGTGAGAGTCCGGGGTCAGCTGCCAGAGTCCTCCCAGAGGTAGCGGCACTTATCCTGCAATCCTGAAAGTGCAGGTCTCGCCATGGTGTTTTTGGGGTTTAATCTAGACTTCCACCGCTTTTCAAGTTTGCCGTAGCGGCTTGGAAATGGAAAATACATCAAGAGATGCCAAGGAAGCTCTGGCAGTCCCCCGATTCTCCGGCTGAGACCAAGCTTTGGACCAGGACTCGGAATCAGATTTGGGATTGATTGGCTCATTGTTTTTGTTTTGGAGCACCTTCTCTTTTGCAACAGACCGTGAAACACCCCCTGGCGAAAGAAGAAGACGAGCTTCCAGAATGCCCATGGCCGATGCTTTCTGAGCAAAATCCCTTCTCTGCGTCGTGGGCCAGCATCTCCGGGAGGACCCTTCCTCCCGCAGGCGCAAAGCCCTTCAGCGATGCCGAAGAGGTCCGATTTTTCTTCCTGATGCAGGGTTTAGGGTGTAGGGTGTAGGGTGTAGGGTTCAGATAGGGTTTAGGGTTTAGGGTTTAGGGGAAGGTGTACCAAGACCACACAATGGCTCAGACTCTGAGGCGTTTCGCGCCGGTCGGGACAGAGCCACTGAGGTGCGCTGCGGCCGTCCTTGCAGTGTTTGTGATGTGTTGGGGTGTATTGGCCAGCACCAACCCCAAAGCCTTGAATCGGCTAACTCCCTAGGTATGTGCGTATGAGGTAAGCGTTACACAAGTAGGCTCTCTCCTCGACCGCTCAGCGACTTGCTTCAAGCCTTTCGAAGCATGACAAGCGCCCATCTATATACTCTTTTAAATAAATAAAAAAAAATATATATATATATATATATATAATATATGTGCTCAGATATTACAATGCATTGTGCTACATATTTCTCACTTCCGCCGATCAAAAATGCACGTGTATGTATATTTCTATAGATAGATAGAAGACAGCCAGACACACAGAGAGAGAGAGAGAGAAAAAGAGGGAGAGACCCGGGGGGCCCCTTCGCTGGGTAAAAGAAGAAGAAGAAGAAGAACAAGAATAACAAGAAGAAGAAGAAGAATACGAAAAATAAGCAGAGAGAAATGCATGAAAAAGCAAAGAGCCCAGAAACTGCCGAGGTCATCGACGCAAGTGTCGCCCAGGCGCTGCAGCGGCAAAGTCGCTTCTTCGGGCTGTCCCTGTCACTCGGACCTTTCTGTGTGGGGTCTTACGACGTGCATCAGGATTGTAGTGTGTGCAATTACTTTAGATGCATGCAATTCGTAGAACGGTTGTTCAAATAGTTGCAGTGCTGACATGTACTGTTGAGGCTGACGAGAGTCTAGAGGGCATGGGTGTTTGGCCGGGACGGCCTTGGGTGATTCATGCAGCTGCTGACTCTCAGCTGCGCAGATTGCCACCCTAAACCCTAAACCCTAAACCCTAAACCCTAAACCCTAAACCCTTAAGACATCCGGAAGCCATCTGAGGCTTCGTGGAGCCATCGATGGTGAAATGGTGCCACTTGGCTTCCAGTCGTGATGCCATGCAAGCCTGAGGTTGTAGCTGTCTGCAGCCTTCAGCAATCTATACCTTCAATCAGGGACCAGAGGGTTTCATCAGGTTCTTGTTTTTCGGGTGTTTCCGCACACAGGCATACGCTGGAACCGCCATGGTAACGACGGCGCCCGCAATTCTACTTGTCATGCGCAGGACGCTGATGCGCGAGGACGCCCTGCGCCTCATGCAGCAGGGCCGCCTAACTCCCTCAGGCGCATTGGGGGCCCAAATTGGGGGTCTCGCTGCAAGAAGTGAAGTGAAACAGGGCGAGGGGGGGTGGGGGGGTGTTGTTTGCCCTTCTTGCATGAGGCAGCCCCCTGTCTTTGGCATTTGCCTTGGGCCCTCAGTTGAGTTCTGTGAGCATTGAGAGTGCCTGCCAGGTGATCCGAACGAGCCACAGTTGTGCCTTGGCCTTTGCACTCCTTAAGACTCGTTGAGGTGGAGGCTCTGCGAAAAAAACTGCAGAAATATATATATATATATATATATTACCACAGTCAGGAGTCGCAGGCGGGACCCCGGACATGCTTGCAATGTTAATGTTTTATAAAGCTCACTCTTCATGACTTCATGGCCCCAGTTCCCGAAAGCCGAATACACCCGCACCTCCCAGCACCTCTGAGGACGGAGCAGTACAAGAAGCAGAGCTGCACTCAAGTCTTTCAGGGGGAGAGGCTCCCCAGCCCTTGCAGAAGAGAGAGGCGGACGTCGGGCTCTGCATGCAGAAATTCCCGAGTCGGTGCAGCCGCCCCGAAGAAGGCACACTAGGAGTGGGCTGAACCAAGCGGTCTCAATGCGACCTCAACCCCCCAAAATCACAGCACCTGGCCGAGGAGATACCTAGGCAGCCTCCCCGTACTGACCATCCTCGATTTGCAGCGAGCTACCGCTCCCAAGCGGCAGAGTTTTTTTGTTTGGAGGGTTCTCCAAAAAGTTGGTGGCCCCTTCCTTGTCACCAACTATGACATCCACCGCTTAGGGTCTTCTGAGTCTAGAGAGCCTATAGATTTCAATGGACCATACCCCCCCCACACGCCAATTCCTGGGCTCGAAAGAGCGAAATCAGGATCTCAGGAGCTTTCAAGAGCCCTAAACACTAAACCCTAAACCGAGATCAGTGAGATTGCACGGTGGGGGGCCGCACATTCTTGAAGTGGGAGGTGTGTTGAAGGTTGAAGATGCTGTTGTTTCTGGTTGAGGGGTTTGTCTGGGTGAACAAGGAGGTAAGGCCCCGCCACAGCACAGCTGCCATACAGAGACCTACCATTCAACCATGCCTGCGGTTCGGCTAGCTATGCGGGAGCGAAAAAAAACCCTAAACCCTAAACCCTAAACCCTAAACCCTAAACCTTGAACTCTCAAGTCCAGTGACCAAGCTGCGGCTTAGGAGGAGGGGCTGGTGGGCCTTGCGTACGGCGTGGCCTTCCTGGCAGGTGGCAGGGACCACTTTGTTTAGGGTTTAGGGGTTTCGGGGTTTAGGGTTTGGGGTTTAGGGTTTAGGGTGTAGGGTTTAGGGTTTGGGGTTTAGGGTTTAGGGCACTTTGGGACATGAGCTGCACCTGACCCTTGGAGAAGCGCTTTTGGGTTTACTGGGATCCTTCCGTCAGCCTCCCCCAAAAGGCGTTTGCAGCCGCTTAGATGCGCTGGGAACGCAGTCGCTGGAGCCCGGAACGATACAGTCTCGAGGCAGCCAGGATTTGGGCTCATTAGGGCCACGTGGAGGTACGCACATAGTTTCTGCCCGAGGCCTTGCTCGTTTAGGGTTGACTTTGGAGGTGTCAGGACCATGTCGATCTAGAATCGAGACGTCGGTTAACGGGTCCAAATGCGAGACTCGTGGCCGTAGCACTCAGACCAGCGCGCGCACAGCGATGTGGCATCTTTTTGTTGAGGCGAAAACTGCCATGCTCTAAACCCTAAACCCCCGTGGCAAAAAACTTAAGCCCGAAAACCTAAACCCTACTTCTGCCGGCCAATGTCTCACAAAGCACATTCAGAATCTTTTGTCATGTACTTTGGGCTACTTTGTTTGTAAGTTATGTTCGCCACAAGTGCACTCGGTGTACCTCCTTCGTACAAGGAATGCAATGATTTGCTGTGTTCTAGTTCCATGTCTTCTCAACGAAGTGAAACTTCAATCAGAGCAACTGCAATCAATGCAACTAAGACAGCATGTTCCGGTGAAGCTGGTGCATGTACCGAATGACTTCGGTTGAGGGAATTTGCTGTAGCTGCCCGCAGAAGGAACCGAATGAAGACGAATACAGGAACCAACAACTTGTAGCGATTCTGCACCTCGGCAACCGGTCCGGGCCAACCCACCGGGACGATCTTGCCGGCGGTTTTGATCAGCGGTGCACTTTGGAGTTTCCAGTCCGCACGCTGGGCTGCAGATGCAGAGAGCGATCGCGGGTCCAGGAGAAAAACGCCGGAGAACAACCGACCTGTAAACCCCGAAGCCTTGAACCTGCAGCGTAAGTGAGCTTGGGGACATGATTCTTATTGCGTAGGGTGGAAGCCGGACTTTTGCCAAGAAGTCTACAAGGTAGCAACGAAATCCCTGGCGGTCCGAAGACGAGGGCCCTGAAGGGGGTTGTAAGGGCTCCCCAGGAAAATCCCAACAAAAAGTTGTTCTGTCCCTGGGCCGGAGGCCGAGGCGAATTACCTATACCGCAACCCCATATAGCCCTCCATACAAATCTATCCGTCAACATAGGCTTTAGAACCCTAAACCTTAAAAACTAAAACCCCTGCAGTACGTGAGTCCAAGGCTCGCTTGCTACGATGGCGATGGCGTGGCATACCACGTGCACGAGGAGAGGTGTTGTGGAGCCTCAAGAATCCTCAAACGCCCCATACCCATCCGCAACGCAGAATTTCCCCAAATTTGGGCATGAGATGCCCTAAGCTGCCCAGACCCAGAGAGGACTATGTCCCGGAGCAAGAGTACAATCCCGATGATCTGCCACCACACCACCGCCTGGCCTACAAGCGGCGGGTTACCGCGATCCTGCTGCTGGGACTTTGGTTTTGGAGTGATGCTCTGAGAAACAATAGTGTTTTCCCCCCCCCCCCCCCGCCCGCCAAACAAACTTGAACTTCAACCTGAAGCTGGGTGTCCTTTAACCTATCCGATGAAAGAGGATGAGTTTAGATCTGCTTTACGCTAAACTGCGCGCATCTGCGAGTGCTGCCTCAGTTTGTAATTTTGCTAGGCGCAGGCCTCCCACATGTTTTCGCTTTGCAACGCAAAACCGCGTTCTAGAAACGCAGAACGAAACCGCGGTGGTTCTGGAACATGGCGAAGACACGCAACATGTGAGTCAGGTACTTGCAGGAGGAGTGGAAGGAAGATCTGGGAGGAGCCTTCCGAGCGCATGCTGTGCGACCCGTGGGAGTGACCTGGTTCGAAGCCGCCGTCGGCAATCTTTGCTTCACATTAGGCTTTGGAGTGTCGTGTCGGGGGAAGTCGGAGCCGATGTGGCAAAAAAACCTGGCAATTACTAATTTCGGCTTCGGGAGTTTCTCTTTCGCTGAGTACAGGGTGGCTGTGGCACATTCCTGCATTGCAGGTCTACGGCATGTATTGTGGCACGCAGGCCACTTGTCTAGCAAACCATACATGCCACATGGCAAGGAAGAGCCTCTTCCAAGCGACTATGTGGACGTCTTGCCTGCGCCTTGCCCTGAAATTGGTGGAGTCTGAGCCAGAAACAGTTACACCGCGAAAGTTTCGAATCATGAAGCAGCTTCCTTTTTGAAGTCTGCCAGCCTGTAGGCGATGGTGCCTCCAGTTCCCTTGCTTTTCACCTGTGGTCTGTTGCAAGATGCACATCGCACATCTTTGGTGAAGTGGAAAGTCCCTGTCCATGCAGTGCAGCGTTGGGGTTAGTATAGGGGTCGGAGTAGTTACTGATCAGATTCCCTTATGGCCCCTTGGTATTTGTACTATTATAACCCCCCCCCCCCCAGCAAAAAAAACAAAAAACATTCAAATTATTAAGGCCCCTAAACCCTAAGCCCTAAAACCCATATATTACACGGCTTTTTACTACATGTGGCACTCCGCGGCTGGCACCTGGGCCCACAACTCATACAGTGAGCGGAAGGCGAAGAGAAGCCCAGCAGCTGACCTCCCCGCCAACCGCAACCTTGAACTAAACCTTGAACTACAGGGTTTAGGGTTTAAGTTTAGGGTTTAGGTTCAAAATCTAGGGTTTAGGGTTTAGGGTTCACCTCAGATGGGACTGGGAAGCATGCGAAGCTTCAGCCACACCCCGCCCAGGAGGGTGGCTCGCTCATCCTCTTTCGATCGGACATGCCGCATGAAGTGCCCTTGGGATTGCCGAGGGGATTGCTGGCATGTGGCTTAACCGTAAACCCTAAACCCTGATTTCCCATTGGTCAATGAACTTTCAAGTATTTAGGGTATCACAGTATCACTCTGCTTTGGGTGATTTTCAGTTTGGCTGCAGGGCATCAGAAAAGCTCAACTCCCGGTTCACATAGTTAGAAGTTGGGAGTCTATGGGCCCCAATGGCACATGGCAGCGTCAAGATGTCCTTGCTTTCTTCGTGTTCCTTTCAGAGCGAGCGAGCGAGAGAGAAAGCGCGAGAGGGAGAGGCTTGCCATAGTTAAGGCTCCCCACCCATGGACAGCGCTTCGCGCTCTCCATGTGGTGTCATGCGGCCGGATGAGTGGGAGCAGAGTTTTCCGAAATTACTGCTTGGGTTTGGGTTTGGTTCCAGTCTACCATGCGCATTGGCGTCGTAGCTAGGTTAATGTGCCCTGGGCCTGCTTCCTATCGCTCAGAGAGGAGTATAAGGTAAGGCACCACTGGCTAGCAAAGTGCCTAGTCACTGGCCGCAGATGCTTGAAATTTGTTGCCAGAGGGGCTTGGCGGTGTTGAGCAGCGATTGGCAGTGTAGAGGACACCGCCGGTAGTTCCATTGCGTGCCTCGTGCTCTACGCTTGCACGTGGATCTTTGTCTTAAGCCTTTGTTGAGCACACACGGTTGGGGGTAGTACGAAGGCACTCAGCCTCATTGGCAAAATGCTTTGCTTTTCGCCCAGTCCTAGCCTTAGATGTCAGTGCAATGAGAAAGGAGGAAGCCTCTATGTCAAACAAGTCAGCAGGACAATGTGACAAAACGGTATTCTTACTGCGCAACTTGCACACATGCTTCGGTATCAGTGGCGAGGGCTTGGCATCTTGCACACCTGTATGCGCGCCTCATGACCTCATGACGTCCGCGCTGACTGCTGTGGGCACTCTGCTTGACACGAAGGACTTGTTCCGTTTGAAGCCAGGTAAACCAAGATGCTTGGAGTGTTGAGGCCTAGACTAGACTGTAGTTGAGGCGACTGTAGTTGAGGCCTATGCGAGATGAGGCGAGTATGTTCAAATTCGTATACCATGAAGGACAAGAAGGTGCACCGACACAACCGTGCGCCAGGTTAGGCCAGGTAGAGCACAGCAGGGTGGAGCGCAACAGAAGCGCGAGTCCCACCTCTGCCGGACCTGCACTCTGCCGCATCTCCTTATAAGCAACCTGCAGTAGCAGTACCAGGATCGGCTATTTTACCCTACCATCCCTCAAAAGGCCCTTTATAGGGTTCATTGTGGGGATGTTAAGGCCGTGAATAGCCCATCCTGGTAGAGCAGCGGCACATCCAAAAAGCATCCCCTAGATTCGGAGGAGTGCTTCGACCCGGAGTGCCCGGTCAGCGACCACCAGCCACAGTGAGCCGGCTACTGAATGAGCCGGAAAGAAGAGGTCGTTGTGCGGTATGTTGTGGTCGGATCATGTCAGTCATGTCAGCTGGGGTTCGTTGATGCTGGTCAGATGAGAGCCACCTTGTGTGGTCGGGAAGTGAGCATGAGGCTATGTTGTCAGTTTGATGATCCTGTCACTTGGTTGGTGGTGGCATGGTAATGATCATGATCATGGTGATGATGATCATCATGCACCCCCCCCCAGGCATAGCATTGTCAGGTGCTTTGGGTAACAGCGTTGCCACCAGAACCTGCAATCATCCCTACTGCAACCCCTGGTCTGTTTGGCAGGAGGCAAAAAAAAGAAAAGACAAGCCTAAACCCGAAGCCAGGGAGGATGCTTGTGTCACCCGCCCCTTTGCTCTCTGCTAAGAGGCTTTTCCGGGCCGAGCTCGGCGGGCGCCTTGTGGAGGTCCTGACCTGGAACGTGATGATGCGAGGCAGCGCGTGGGGGGCGTGATGCCCTGTAGGGGGGGGGGGGGGGGGGGTGGGGAGCGTGAAGGGGGGGTTCGGTTGGGAGGCGTTGTACTGCAAGATGTGCTCAGCGTTGTTTGTGTTAGACAGGGCATGCTGAGGATCTTTCAAGAGGGGTCGGGTGGGGCAGCCGTCCCAGCCTCGAAAGTCTTTGTGCCCATTGGCCTGCCCAAGCCTCTCTCCGCAGACTTTGTTTCTGGACCCTCGATCCGGCTGAGCTGTAACCCCACAGACTCGTTGGAGTTGCATCGCCCGAGACAGCGCAGACGATCATGGCCCAAGCCCGACCAGGTGCCTTCAGACACCCTGCTTTCTCGACAGCCTTTCATGATGAGTTGTGCTTCAGCATCCGAATGTTCGCTGTCGCTGGTTGCGTAGGAAGCCTTGAACCCCCCTGTCCCAACCGGTGATGCTAGAATCGCGCGTGTTTTAGGACTCAGGCAGCGGCGGCCCCATGGCTCGCGCATTTCAGATAGAGGATCGCGTGACCGTTGCCCAGACGCAGTGCCCTAGCTACATCAAGTGCTACCTCAGTGGGACATCTCCTGAATATATACTTGGAGACTTATAGCCTTGTGATTGTACGTATTGTTCGCCCACCCCCCTAGCCATAGTGGGACATCTACTGAATACTTATAGACTAATGGACTTCTGATTGTGCACTAGAAATGGCCTGTTGAGCCAAAAAAAAGGCTTTGCGGCACCGTGAAGTTCATCGGGTTGACGGACTTTGCGGCTGGGGAGTGGATCGGCCTCAGACTGGACGAGAAATCCGGCAAAAACAACGGCTCCGTGAAGGGCAAGGCCTCTCGGCCTTTAAACTTATAGGGTTTAGGGTTTAGGGTTTTGGGTTTAGGGTTTAGGGTTTAGGGTTTTAGGTTTCCTTAATGTGCTCCTCTCTTCTAGTAGCTCGGGGCAACAAATTTGAGGAAGGAAAGATCGAGAGAGTATAGACCAGGCCGTTGAGCATCAAATAACTGATACCTCGCAATCCTAGCCAGTCTGATTGTGTCGACCCTAGGTCTACTTCGATTGCGAGGAAGATCATGGCCTTTTCGTAAGGCCTACGGCGCTCTCCAGAGCCACAAGCACAGGGCGAAGATCCAGCAAATCCTGTCTGCTGCCATACGTGTCGCTGCATCAGGTGAGGCAAGCTCCGGCCCCCCTGCCCATACTGCCACCACCCATCCCAACCGCGCAGACCGAGCCGGCAGCGTCTTCTAAGAAGCTCAGCAAAGTGGAGGAAGGCGACAAGAGCTTGGAGCTTCAGATTGCCAGCGTGCAAATGGAGCTGGCGAATGCCATGGAGGACCCAAGCAGAAAAACTTCAGTATGTCCCCCTTAAATCTCGCGAGCACACATCACCCTAAAGCCTAAAGCCTAAACCCTAAACCCTAAACCCTAAACACATCAACTCAAAGCCCTGAAGGATCACGATGTCGATGCCATCCAAAGATTGCTGCCAGTGGCCCTCAACCTTGGCCTAGCCTCAGAGGAGCTGGGGTTGGGGGATGAGGGGCCCTTCAGAGGCTGCTGCTTGATAGACTATGTACTATACTACTTTGCAAGATATGATATACTGGATATACTATATGATACTATACAAGATATGAGATACTGGATATACTAATATGAACCTGATGTTCGTGGAGGAGATTGCAGCTGCAAGGCGAATCTTGAGCTGGGAGCTGAATGAGAGCTTTGTGGAGGAGGTCGGGGGGGTCTCGCAGAATTCCAGAAATAGGAGCGGAGAGGTGTTTGAAAGCCAGGGCCGGCTCTTTCGCCTTCCCTGGCCTTACGTGCAGGATTCTCAGAGAATTGCTTCTTTGACTGGGTGCGGATGCCTACTTGGGGACCAAATGAGCCCTAATCTCGGGGTCATGTACTATGATTCCTACTAAGGTATGTGAAGCCATAAGCCCTTTTAGGGGTCATGTGGCCTAAACCCTAAACCGCCTAAACCCTAAACCCCCAAGCACTCCCCTCTCGAGAGGTAGCTGCTGTGCGGCGCTCCGTCTCGCAGTTGGCGGAGTCCGTGGCGCAGCTTGAGGCTGGCCGGACACGCATCCATCTGGGGTGCTTTCCGAAATTCGAGCGTGCCCAAAATAGGGGTCATGATTATCAGGGGACCCTGGTACTTTGGGCATCAAGATTGGGGGTCCCTTATTGTTGTAAACCCCGGTTAAACCCCCCATTTAGACTTGTTGTAGGTGAGGTGGACAGGGAGCTTCGGAAGCAAAAGCTCCCTCAACCCTAAACCCTATAAGACCTGCAAGGCCTATAATCCTACAAGGCCTAACCCTATGACAGCCCTGAACCCTATAGTAGCCCTAAACCCTAAACCCTACAGTTACAAAAAGCAAGGGAACTTCGCCCCCAGTGATGGGAACTTCACCCCAGTGATGGCGCGGTGCAGGCGAACTGGAGGCCAAGGCCCAGGATCACCGCGGATGCCATCGACGACCTCGTCGCCCGCCTCGGGGGCGAGCTCGAGAGGCAGCTTTGAATTCCTCTGTAAGGGGAGTTTAGGGGTTGGGGTTTAGGTAGGGTTGAGGGTTAGGGTTTAGGTAGGGTTTAGGGTTCCATAGGATTTAGCAAAAAAGAGTTGAGGGGTTTCGATGGGTTTATGTCATGGAACTTGGTGCAAGTTGGGAGCTCCTGCATGATGCTGTGGTCCTAATTTTTGCTTGGAGCGATTGGATCGGAGCGCGCGCCGTGACAATAGCGCGCGAATCCGACAACTGCCCATCCCAAAACTCTTGCATTTGGGTTACTTCACCTCCCTGAAACCCTTAACCAGGATGGGCTATTGGGCCATACAATCCCCATAATGAATCCTATAAAGGGCCTTTTAAGGGATTGTGGGGAATAATCGCCCATCCTGGAATGCCGATTAAGAGCCCTGCTTCAGAATCATATAGTACCAAATAGTGAATACACTACCAAAAGTGAGCCAGCAGAAGCACCTTCGCAGGAGGGTTTGGCAGCAGCTCGAGGACAAGATTCAGAACTTTGTAGACGCAGCTCCGCGTTTGCAGTTCACACCAGTGCGTGACCTCGAAACAAACGCGGGTATCGTTGATGCTTCTGATGTTGTAGTCCAGTAGCTTAGTTCGGCTGGGTACTTGATGCCATAATGCGGCTCCGGTAGAACAGTTGTAGTCGGATCCCCGTGATTAATTACTACAGGAGTTGTATCAGAGAACAGCGAGCTGTACAGCCATACATATTGGAGTAAGCGAAAGCCTGGCACACGCAAGCGGTTTGGCTTGCTAGTCGAAAGGTCCTTCAACCGACAGGTGTGTTGCGCCGTATACGCTTGAAGACACCAGCCATGCAGCTTGAAGTGCAGATGAAAGTGTACCCTGGCCTACAGAAGTGCGCCCTCAAAGCACGAGCTGCAGCATGCAGAGTCCTGCTGTGGATCTTTTTTGTCTAAGGCTCTGTTGAAGGCTATGGAGAAACACCTCGCAGCTCCTGCCGAGATGCTGGATCCCCCCAGGGCGACCTTCACGCAAGAGGAGGCCTGGCTTGCTGTAGGTTGGGAGCGCGTTCGGGGGCAGCTTGTGTGCATTTTGTTCGTGATTTCTTTTTCTGGTGCGAGGTCCTGAAAGCCAAGGAGGAGGAGCCGCCGGCTTCTAAAGTTCCGGAAGCACCTCCCAACCAGGCCAGGAGCAGTGAAAGAGCACAGGTGCAGTTCAGCTTGGGGTTTCGATGTCGCCATCAGAATTAAGAGCCCAACATCTACTTCAAAGATGCGCCTGACAACGACCCAGCTCAAGGATGAACATGTTAAAGCTAAGCTATAGATTGATTTTCTACGGTCTTTCCTGTTGCCAACATTTCGAGGCCTCTGAAATTAGTGGCTGAGGCCTCCATGTCATTGATAGCACAATAAGGTTGCAGCTACTTCTGCACGGTACAGTCAACTTGCTTGCAGGTGTTGCCACAGAACCCTGACGACTGCGACGACGGGGCAGCGCGCTTTGTCGTCCAGCGCTTGCTGCACGGAGGCCTTCAGCGGGCCCACCTCATGGCCCAGGTGGTGTCCCCACCGGATGCGCCCTTCGAAGAGCACGGAGCCACAACACCCGCCCAAGCCTCCAAGAGGCCAGGTGAGGACGGTGAGGATGCGAAGAGTGCGAAGAGAGATGAGGCTTGTAGGAAGGTCCAGGCCGTGGCAAGAGGTAGACAGGTGAGGCAGCACAAGGAGCTGCTGGCGAAGAGCTCCGTGACGATCCAACGCGCGTTCCGCCGCGTCAGGCCCCGGTGGCTTGAGGGATCGAGGCCAAATGTCGCGGCGGTCCTCCAGGTAGTGGGTGGCCAGCGCAAGGAGTGGGCCAAGGAGTTTCAGAGAGCCGCAGGCCACGGCGGATTGCAGAAGCCTGGCTTTCTCCAGGCACTTAGCAGTTCGTGTGGTGAGAAGGCGTCGCGCGCACAGGCGGAGAAGCTCTGGGCTGGTTTCCTGGAGCAAAGTGAGGTTGGCGATCCCATGATGCTCCCGACCTTCTGGGCCATATGCGAGGCTGTCCTAGACGGCGATGCCCACGCTGCTGAGTTCGCAGGGATGGCCGAGGAGGAGTATAGATCCTACAGCTCGGATCCAGAGATGTCTTCTGAGGCACGGACTGGACGGCTATACTTGCGACTTGAAACATGGGTTTTGTTTGTTTTTTGGGGGGCTTAGGTTTAAGAAGAGCACTCGGGTTGCACACCGCGAAACATACCCTCTGAAGCATAGCCCCGACATTGCATCTACAGTAGCTCATGATGCCGCGAAACATACCCCAAATCATGCCCGCTAAACATGCAATGATCCGAACACCTGTCGCCCGCCCCCCCCCCCCCCATTTATCGAACAAACCCATATAAGGTTAGTCTCAAGGAATGATTCGCAACCTCCTGCATATTATGGTAGCTTATAGTAGCTGAACCCCTCTGCCATGACTTGTCAGTGAGCCATACTCATATACAGAGTCGCAGGTCCTGCCACAGAACCCTGACGACTGCGACGACGGGGCAGCGCGCTTTGTCGTCCAGCGCTTGCTGCACGGAGGCCTTCAGCGGGCCCACCTCATGGCCCAGGTGGTGTCCCCACCGGATGCGCCCTTCGAAGAGCACGGAGCCACAACACCCGCCCAAGCCTCCAAGAGGCCAGGTGAGGACGGTGAGGATGCGAAGAGTGCGAAGAGAGATGAGGCTTGTAGGAAGGTCCAGGCCGTGGCAAGAGGTAGACAGGTGAGGCAGCACAAGGAGCTGCTGGCGAAGAGCTCCGTGACGATCCAACGCGCGTTCCGCCGCGTCAGGCCCCGGTGGCTTGAGGGATCGAGGCCAAATGTCGCGGCGGTCCTCCAGGTAGTGGGTGGCCAGCGCAAGGAGTGGGCCAAGGAGTTTCAGAGAGCCGCAGGCCACGGCGGATTGCAGAAGCCTGGCTTTCTCCAGGCACTTAGCAGTTCGTGTGGTGAGAAGGCGTCGCGCGCACAGGCGGAGAAGCTCTGGGCTGGTTTCCTGGAGCAAAGTGAGGTTGGCGATCCCATGATGCTCCCGACCTTCTGGGCCATATGCGAGGCTGTCCTAGACGGCGATGCCCACGCTGCTGAGTTCGCAGGGATGGCCGAGGAGGAGTATAGATCCTGCAGCTCGGATCCAGAGACGTCTTCTGAGGCACGGACTGGACGGCTATACTTGCGACTTGAAACATGGGTTTTGTTCGTTTTTTGGGGGGCTTAGGTTTAAGAAGAGCACTCGGGTTGCACACCGCGAAACATACCCTCTGAAACATAGCCCCGACATTGCATCTACAGTAGCTCATGATGCCGCGAAACATACCCCAAATCATGCCCGCTAAACATGCAATGATCCGAACACCTGTCCCCCGCCCCCCCCCCCCCCATTTATCGAACAAACCCATATAAGGTTAGTCTCAAGGAATGATTCGCAACGGAGGTTGCACATTATCGTAGCTTATAGTAGCAGAGCCTGTGCGTATGAACTGTCAGTGAGCCATATACTCATTTTCAGAGTCGCAGGTCCTGCCACAGAACCCTGACGACTGCGACGACGGGGCAGCGCGCTTTGTCGTCCAGCGCTTGCTGCACGGAGGCCTTCAGCGGGCCCACCTCATGGCCCAGGTGGTGTCCCCACCGGATGCGCCCTTCGAAGAGCACGGAGCCACAACACCCGCCCAAGCCTCCAAGAGGCCAGGTGAGGACGGTGAGGATGCGAAGAGTGCGAAGAGAGATGAGGCTTGTAGGAAGGTCCAGGCCGTGGCAAGAGGTAGACAGGTGAGGCAGCACAAGGAGCTGCTGGCGAAGAGCTCCGTGACGATCCAACGCGCGTTCCGCCGCGTCAGGCCCCGGTGGCTTGAGGGATCGAGGCCAAATGTCGCGGCGGTCCTCCAGGTAGTGGGTGGCCAGCGCAAGGAGTGGGCCAAGGAGTTTCAGAGAGCCGCAGGCCACGGCGGATTGCAGAAGCCTGGCTTTCTCCAGGCACTTAGCAGTTCGTGTGGTGAGAAGGCGTCGCGCGCACAGGCGGAGAAGCTCTGGGCTGGTTTCCTGGAGCAAAGTGAGGTTGGCGATCCCATGATGCTCCCGACCTTCTGGGCCATCTGCGAGGCTGTCCTAGACGGCGATGCCCACGCTGCTGAGTTCGCAGGGGTGACCGAGGAGGAGTATCGGTCCTACAGCCATCAGGGCGTGGAGTCTCAGCTACTTGCCGCCAAGAGGATCCAGGCAGCGCAGCTTGGGCGCCAGGCCAGGGTTTTGCCGGCCGCCTGATCTGTTTTAAACTAGTTTTCCACGATCGGTATAGCTTCCGAGACCCGGAGACCATTCCTGAAAGTCAGGCAACCATCGCAGTCAAATTAAGCTCACTGCTCCACAGGTGCTTAAACCCTGTCTCAATTTCGTTGGGTTCAGCACTTGCATGCCCTTTCTCTGTCTGCCAAAAAACACTTTAGAGCCTCTACAGTCGGATGCTGGGTTCCGGTTGAAATCAGCCAGCCGTCTCCTAAGGAGACCGCTCCGTACGCATGGGCCTGAAGAGTACCAGATGAATTTGGGGGGGCTCGTAGTGTCAGTGTAGGATCTTGGCAAAAGGGTTGTGGCAACCTGCTCAATTCCGGCTTGTTGAGGCTCAAGGTTGCTAGGTCATGAAGAGATCAGCTGGTTCTTTGCACTTTGGAAGCTATGTGTGACATCTGAGTTGACATGTGCAGGCATCTGAGTCTACTGGTGGGGCAAGGCAAATCCCAAGCCTTGCAAGCATGTAAACCCTCAATCGGGCTTAGGTTTCTAGTCGAGGTGACAGGTGCACTGTTCTCAGAATTCATCTGGTCTCCTGGCTCAGCGGCTGCGGTACCGCTGGTGCGCATCGAAGAAACATGACCGATCATGTTTGCTTGCGTCCCAGCATTGCTCACCTCTGAGAAGGATGGCGTGCCACTGAACCGCCGCTTTGTCCATATGAAGCCCAGGGAGTACAAGCCACTCAAGTTCTGCAGCCCGCACTACGACTTAAATATGAGGTTTGGATAGCCCATATGCCCCAACCTCACACACATGCGAGCATGTCTCATGTCTACCCCGACATATGGAGGCCGGTCTGGACAGATGGGTCGTCAGGGCACTGCCCTCGAGGGCCGATCGCTGACCAACAATGGCCTGGACTGCGATTGGGCTTGAAAGATGCTCTTATATTAAAGGTCTTTTGGCCGGGGGGGGGGGGGGGGGGGGGGGGGTTGGGTGTTTTTTTCTTCTTTTTTGGGCCCTCTTTCGGTTCTTATAAACCAAAAAGGCAATCGGCAGACTGCGAAGGTTGTCTCACTCCTAGGCTGTTCTTCAGGTTTTGACAGTTGTGACTGCAGTCAGGCTCATAAGTGCTGGGCAGCAGGGCTTCAATGATGTGGCAGGGACGTTCTTTCAACAGTCGCAACGTAGACTCCACAGACAGATCCCTTAAATAGGCCTTGAGAGGTACAGAAGTTTGAAGTCTGATAAAAATCTAATGCATGTGGGCGGGCGAGCTTTTTGAAGTGCTTATGAGCCAGCTGGCCGAACAACCAAGTCTGCAACATCACATTGCTGCAATCCTTTTGTTTTCGTAGTGGCATGCGAGATATGTTGTTGTGATGTCGAGCTTCGCATTAAAATCAGAGCTATCTTTGCCGTGGCTCGTGGTGGGATGCGAGGTGATGAGACACCGGAGGGATACGCACTTCGACTAAAGGACCGAGTAGCGCCAGCCGTGGCGAAGTGGCCTGGCTGGCTTTGCTTGGGGTTTGTGTTGTTAACTTCGTGAGTTCTTTAAACAAAATAGAGCAGCCTAAAGCCAACATTGTCATACCGGTTTTTGGCATGAAACGTACAATCAGATCCCTCCAACCAAACACACGTCGCACCATTGAAGAGTCGACAGATTTGAAGTCTCCAACCTCTTTCCAGATGCATAGGCAAGTAATGAAGGACAGCTATGGGGACACTTATCAGCACACCACCCTCCATCCCCGATTCTCCTGGTGGTTGCTTTTCTTCTCTTCAGTGATGCAGTCAGACTGAAGCATAAGCCTGATTCTTGTCTTCATACACCCATAGGTGTAGGAAAATTCCAGCAATGATAAAACACCCACTAAAACTGTGAACGCGCAACGACAATGTTTGGCAAGGAGTGTTCAAGGTGACAGCCCCCCTGCCCCCGTCCCCCGACTGCCCGCCGCCCCCGGCACCACCGGCACCACCGCAACCAATGCCTTTCAGCGATGTTATGAGGACAAGAATACAACTCATGCAAGTCTGAAGTTGTTTTTGCAAGGTGGCTGGGGTCGGCTTCCCCTGCATGGGTCGCCTGATCCCTGGCTTGCACGTGATTATCACGAGATTGCTTGATTCTGTAGGAAGAATGTGTGTGGGGACTTCAGGGTTCGGCGACCATAGAAAAACAAAAAGTATGAACTGGACGTTCACAACTGCGTCGTCGTATGGAAGGGCACACTGCCCTCAAGTGGGGAGCGTGCGCACCCGGCGAGGCTTCCAGGAATTTCCTGCACACCCGCTTCTCCAGCAGGACTGGATCTTGTCAGCCATGCAGGCCATGCGCGCAACGAGCCATCCCCCTAAACTTTTTCTCGGAAGCAGGAATTCCTGGCAGTGCTCCGCCAAGCCCGGGCCACTTCGCAGTTGGCCGTGGGCGGTGGACCTACAAAGGTGCTCCGAGCCAGTGTTATGTTTTTTTTCGTTTCCGCAATCCAGGAGGGAAGGTTAGGGTTTGTCTTGTTTTTGGTGGTTGTTGTTTCGTTCTGTCGAGCAGTGGACGGAACTGCGTAATACTTTAGCCTCCAATTCTGGGACGCGTAATTGCATGTTACTACCCATGTCGCAGAGGCTACGAGGGAGTTGTTTCGAGTATGCGCATGGAGACTTGGCAAAAGTCTCGCTCCCCTTGCGCAAACCCAAGCCCCTCAACGGCGGCCGGCACCGAACCAGAGCAGAAACCCGAGACCTTCGACCCTGAATTCCTTCAATTCCTCCCAGCAACACAGCGCAGGGAGGGGCGTCGGAGTTGTCCAGCTTCTGCAATGCAGTGGTCGCTTGCCTGGACTTGTGTACGAGAGTTGGAGTAATTGGGGTCATACAGTATCCTGTTCAACGACCATCCTGACTGGTGTGAACCCTCTCGAGCGGCCTGACGATGCTTGAAACTATATCCCTCTTGGGAATTATTTTGTACTTGCGTTTATATAAAACCCATGAGGATATTGAAAATATTCGTGGAAAGTCTCAGAGCACCATAGCTTGGATGCAAGAATCAAGCCACGGCAAGCGCCCCCGCACCACCTGAGTTTTCGTGATCGATGGTGTCGAAGCCTAAGAAGGCTTTCAAACCATAAGTATCTCGCAGCTCAGGCATGGGATGCGAAGACCTGGGCCGAAGCTCCCCAAGAGGCCCCTGAGAACAATGTTGCGGGCTGTTTTGGGGCTTCATATCGAGTCCTTGGGTTGCTTTTGGTGATTTTGGGTTTTGGGCCATCTACCCTCGACCTGAGAGTCAGAATGCAGATCGAAGGCTACTGAGCATCTCAGACTAAGCACGTCCGTCTTTATTTGTTACCACCACTTGACAATGCAAAATATGCAAACCTTAATAGGCCCTCCAGGACCCTAAACCACTAAGTGTCAGCGACAGGCTCTAGACCCATGGGACAGCAACAACAAAGTTCCCCAAGCGGTGAAAGGAAAAGTCATCTGGTGACAAACTCATTTTGGAAGGTTACCACCACGGCTCCTGGTCTTGGCTTAGTGTCTGGCGCATTGTTTAGACTCTTGTTCTTGTTTCTGGTTTCTGGTCTTTCGGGAGTCGGGCCACCTTGCTTTACATTATTTAGCAGGCCTCGCAGGACCACTGATTTGTTGAGCTTCAATCAGATCAAGCTCATGGATGCATGTCGCAAGCAAGTCCTAGCCAGGCCAAAGTCTCCATGAACAGCAGAAGCTGCTGAACATCCCACAAAGTTTTCTCTTGGCAGGTCCAGCCTGGGTATGAGGCGTCTCTTATGTTCCGAGCATGCAGCACAGGCATTACGGGGATCGGATGACTGGCGCTTGAGCGTTCTCAGCCTCTTGACATGCACCCAGAGCGTTGCAGGGCTGGATGCAATGCAATGTACCAGGATGGGCTATTAGGCCCTATAGCCCCCACAATCAGCCCTATTCAGGGCCTTTTTCAGGGGTTATAGGGTAGAATAGCCCGTCCTGGTAATGTCATGTCACGTAGTGTTTTGAGACGCGCTTGTCCAACTTTTCATTCCCTGGACTGTGTCGAGGCAATATCCAAGCGCGTCCACCCCAGCCGTCACACCATAAGCAGTAAGCCACTTCTTGCCTCCCATGCGACGACATCCTCCACACCATTCAACCTTTAAGCCAACAACTTTCCCCTACATCGACTTTCAGCTATTAAGCCAATCATTGTCCCCTGCCATGCCCACCGGACCTTTAGCTTCATAGCGAGCTAAGCGGGGATTCGTGGAGAGTGGCGCCATGGTTTTCATATTGGGATGTTCCCCCTTATACTAACAGTCCTTAATAGGGAGTATAGTACCCCCTACCTTTTGTCCCTATTGAGGACTGCTAGTATAAAAAAGTAACAAAAGGAACATCCCAATTTTCATAGCAAAAGAACTGTTGGGTGGAGGTGTGAGCGCCGGAAAAGGGGGGGGGGGGGGGCATCGCGCCCACGCTTACGCCCATGGTAAAACCTAAACCCCCTAGACGCCCTAAACCCTAAACCAATCAAGCTAAGCCCTAGACCCTAATTAACCCATCCCCTGTTCCAAGCACAGGCTTTCACTTGCCCTTTGTCGATGCACCAGGTGGGCACAGATACGGTTACTTGAATCGCAAGCCGAGTGATCAAAAAAGTTCAGGTTTCGAAGTGTTTGGAGATTCCGGGCTTCACTAGAGGATCTTGGGGAGATCGGTTGCAAAACTCAGAGAAGTCTCAGAAAGATGTCAGATAAGAGGCAGCATGCCGTATCTCATGCTACATGGAGAACAGATGGCTGTGCTGTTGGCCATCCACTGAGCATACTACCAGGCAGTTTTGAGGGCCAGCGAGCCATGAGCCCATGTTGAGCTGAACATGGCTGAACCCTCAATCCTATTATTAATCTTATTCGTACTATTCATATTATGGTTAAATAAATATATAAATATATATATATATGACCAAAGACCCTAAGCCCTCGAGTCTGAGGCGAAAGTGTCCAGGCTGCGAGGGGCTT